AAGGTTTGCAACAAGACTAGTCCCAGAGCTACGGGGAGTGTCCTATGAAGAAAGGTTGAGGGAAATCGGCCTGACGACACTGGAGGACAGGAGGGTCAGGGGAGACATGATAACGACATATAAAATACTGCACGGAATAGACAATGTGGACAAAGACGGGATGTTCCAGAGATGGGACACAGACACAAGAGGTCACAGTTGGAAGTTGAAGACTCAGATGAATCAAAGGGATGTTAGAAAGTATTTCTTCAGTCATAGAGTGATCAGGCCGTGGAATGGCCTAGAAAGTGAAGTAGTGGAGGCGGGAACCATACATAGTTTTAAGGCGAGGTATGATAAAGCTCATGGGGCAGGAAGAGAGAGGGCCTAGTAGCAATCAGTGAAGAGGCAGGGCCAGGAGCTATGACTCGACCCCTGCAACCACAAATAGGTGAGTACAAATAGGTGAGTACCACACACACACACACACACACACACACACACACACACATACATACACACATACAGGGAATGAGCTAAACAGTCCATACAGTGAATGAGAAATGGGAGGCAATCAGGTATGATCTGAGGAAGGGAAGGCATAGGCCATTTTGTTGAATATCAAGGCATCTCACATGGGGGGCTACAAAAGAAAAATGGAAATTGGATGTCATTTTGTACGAATGGTTATGGTTAAGCACAGTGGATTATTTACTGCACTAACAATTTAGTTGATAAAATTCTAAATTATTTGCCAACATATTACAGTATATTAAGTATGTTGATAATTACCCAGTTGGGAAATTCATTATGTTCAGTAAGGTATAAATACGACTTTTCCCCCAATCCACCAAGTTGTACCTCAGACCCAGAACCTGGAAGTCAGAGACCTAGAATTTCTTGTAATTCACTGATTTGTGGTACAGGTATTTTCTTCCTGTGTTGGCAGAGCTCACATTATTATATATATGTATAAGAGGTTAATTAAACAAAGAATACATAGGCACAATACCGTGACTGGAGCAATACACAAATAACCCGCACTTAGAAGACTGAAACTTATGACGATGTTTTGGGTCTTTTTACCCACTTGTGGATATCAAGCCACCTGCTGAATGAACTAATCTCAGAACAATCAGATGTACTTTCTTCTCTTATTATTTTTATTTTTTTTTTCAACAAGTCAGCCGTCTCCCACCGAGGCAGGGTGACCCAAAAAAGAAAGAAAATCCCCAAAAAGAAAATGCTTTCATCATCATTCAACACTTTCACCACACTCACACATTATCACTGTTTTTGCAGAGGTGCTCAGAATACAACAGTTTAGAAGCATATACGTATAAAGATACACAACATATCCATCCAAACTGCCAATATCCCAAACCCCTCCTTTAAAGTGCAGGCATTGTACTTCCCATTTCCAGGACTCAAGTCCGACTATATGAAAATAACCGGTTTCCCTGAATTATTTTATATTTTTTATTATCACACTGGCCGATTCCCACCAAGGCAGGGTGGCCCGAAAAAGAAAAACTTTCACCATCATTCACTCCATCACTGTCTTGCCAGAAGGGTGCTTTACACTACAGTTTTTAAACTGCAACATTAACACCCCTCCTTCAGAGTGCAGGCACTGTACTTCCCATCTCCAGGACTCAAGTCCGGCCTGCCGGTTTCCCTGAATCCCTTCATAAATGTTACTTTGCTCACACTCCAACAGCACGTCAAGTATTAAAAACCATTTGTCTCCATTCACTCCTATCAAACACGCTCACGCATGCCTGCTGGAAGTCCAAGCCCCTCGCACACAAAACCTCCTTTACCCCCTCCCTCCAACCCTTCCTAGGCCGACCCCTACCCCGCCTTCCTTCCACTACAGACTGATACACTCTTGAAGTCATTCTGTTTCGCTCCATTCTCTCTACATGTCCGAACCACCTCAACAACCCTTCCTCAGCCCTCTGGACAACAGTTTTGGTAATCCCGCACCTCCTCCTAACTTCCAAACTACGAATTCTCTGCATTACATTCACACCACACATTGCCCTCAGACATGACATCTCCACTGCCTCCAGCCTTCTCCTCGCTGCAACATTCATCACCCACGCTTCACACCCATATAAGAGCGTTGGTAAAACTATACTCTCATACATTCCCCTCTTTGCCTCCAAGGACAAAGTTCTTTGTCTCCACAGACTCCTAAGTGCACCACTCACTCTTTTTCCCTCATCAATTCTATGATTCACCTCATCTTTCATAGACCCATCCGCTGACACGTCCACTCCCAAATATCTGAATACGTTCACCTCCTCCATACTCTCTCCCTCCAATCTGATATTCAATCTTTCATCACCTAATCTTTTTGTTATCCTCATAACCTTACTCTTTCCTGTATTCACCTTTAATTTTCTTCTTTTGCACACCCTACCAAATTCATCCACCAATCTCTGCAGCTTCTCTTCAGAATCACCCAAGAGCACAGTGTCATCAGCAAAGAGCAGCTGTGACAACTCCCACTTTGTGTGTGATTCTTTATCTTTTAACTCCACGCCTCTTGCCAAGACCCTCGCATTTACTTCTCTTACAACCCCATCTATAAATATATTAAACAACCACGGTGACATCACACATCCTTGTCTAAGGCCTACTTTTACTGGGAAAAAATTTCCCTCTTTCCTACATACTCTAACTTGAGCCTCACTATCCTCGTAAAAACTCTTCACTGCTTTCAGTAACCTACCTCCTACACCATACACTTGCAACATCTGCCACATTGCCCCCTATCCACCCTGTCATACGCCTTTTCCAAAGCCATAAATGCCACAAAGACCTCTTTAGCCTTATCTAAATACTGTTCACTTATATGTTTCACTGTAAACACCTGGTCCACACACCCCCTACCTTTCCTAAAGCCTCCTTGTTCATCTGCTATCCTATTCTCCGTCTTACTCTTAATTCTTTCAATTATAACTCTACCATACACTTTACCAGGTACACTCAACAGACTTATCCCCCTATAATTTTTGCACTCTCTTTTATCCCCTTTGCCTTTATACAAAGGAACTATGCATGCTCTCTGCCAATCCCTAGGTACCTTACCCTCTTCCATACATTTATTAAATAATTGCACCAACCACTCCAAAACTATATCCCCACCTGCTTTTAACATTTCTATCTTTATCCCATCAATCCCAGCTGCCTTACCCCCTTTCATTTTACCTACTGCCTCACGAACTTCCCCCACACTCACAACTGGCTCTTCCTCACTCCTACAAGATGTTATTCCTCCTTGCCCTATACACGAAATCACAGCTTCCCTATCTTCATCAACATTTAACAATTCCTCAAAATATTCCCTCCATCTTCCCAATACCTCTAACTCTCCATTTAATAACTCTCCTCTCCTATTTTTAACTGACAAATCCATTTGTTCTCTAGGCTTTCTTAACTTGTTAATCTCACTCCAAAACTTTTTCTTATTTTCAACAAAATTTGTTGATAACATCTCACCCACTCTCTCATTTGCTCTCTTTTTACATTGCTTCACCACTCTCTTAACCTCCCTCTTTTTCTCCATATACTCTTCCCTCCTTGCATCACTTCTACTTTGTAAAAACTTCTCATATGCTAACTTTTTCTCCCTTACTACTCTCTTTACATCATCATTCCACCAATCGCTCCTCTTCCTTCCTGCACCCACTTTCCTGTAACCACAAACTTCTGCTGAACACTCTAACACTACATTTTTAAACCTACCCCATACCTCTTCGACCCCATTGCCTATGCTCTCATTAGCCCATCTATCCTCCAATAGCTGTTTATATCTTACCCTAACTGCCTCCTCTTTTAGTTTTAAAACCTTCACCTCTCTCTTCCCTGATGCTTCTATTCTCCTTGTATCCCATCTACCTTTTACTCTCAGTGTAGCTACAACTAGAAAGTGATCTGATATATCTGTGGCCCCTCTATAAACATGTACATCCTGAAGTCTACTCAACAGTCTTTTATCTACCAATACATAATCCAACAAACTACTGTCATTTCGCCCTACATCATATCGTGTATACTTATTTATCCTCTTTTTCTTAAAATATGTATTACCTATAACTAAACCCCTTTCTATACAAAGTTCAATCAAAGGGCTCCCATTATCATTTACACCTGGCACCCCAAACTTACCTACCACACCCTCTCTAAAAGTTTCTCCTACTTTAGCATTCAGGTCCCCTACCACAATTACTCTCTCACTTGGTTCAAAGGCTCCTATACATTCACTTAACATCTCCCAAAATCTCTCTCTCTCCTCTGCATTCCTCTCTTCTCCAGGTGCATACACGCTTATTATGACCCACTTCTCGCATCCAACCTTTACTTTAATCCACATAATTCTTGAATTTACACATTCATATTCTCTTTTCTCCTTCCATAACTGATCATTTAACATTACTGCTACCCCTTCCTTTGCTCTAACTCTCTCAGATACTCCAGATTTAATCCCATTTATTTCCCCCCACTGAAACTCTCCTACCCCCTTCAGCTTTGTTTCGCTTAGAGCCAGGACATCCAACTTCTTTTCATTCATAACATCAGCAATCATCTGTTTCTTGTCATCCGCACTACATCCACGCACATTTAAGCATCCCAGTTTTATAAAGTTTTTCTTCTTCTCTTTTTTAGTAAATGTATACAGGAGAAGGGGTTACTAGCCCATTGCTCCCGGCATTTTAGTCGCCTCATACGACACGCAATTCCCTGAATCCCTTCACTAAATATTACCCTGCTCACACTCCACACTCACACTCTTATTATATTATGCTATATACTGTGGGGTCACCTTCATAAAAGCCTCTTGTTACCAAAAAAAAAAAAGGTGTAAAAATAAACTGCTGAATATACTATTACAGTACATGTATACAACATTTTATTCCTTTTTACATTAAACTTCATAATCATATTCTGTACATAAATATTTAAAAGGCTTAATATCACTAATGTAATTCCAATAGGATTATGAAATTTACCTGATTGAACATGTTTAGGATGTGTTAAAAAAATGCTAAATGTCCTCATCTCCAATTTGACTGTCTTCAACTTGTCTCGTTGCAGGAAAGTAAACTTTAAAACTGAAGTCTGTCTTGGAGAATGAGCCCTGCAAGACAAAAAGAATTAAGAAAAGCAATGAAGATCCAATCACAAAAAGGGAGAATAAGATTTTGATGTTCAGCACAGCACAATAATGTACTTCCATTCTGCCCAAGTTTCACATCACTACACAATTTCTTCCCCCGCCCCACTAGCATCAATACTGTTTGCTATTTATAATGATTCACTTTATTCACACACTTATCCTAACTCTCCTCCTCACAAAAATTTTGAGAGGCTTATATTGTTAGTAAATTATTGTGAACCTGTGGTTTTGAGTTATCCTGGGTCAATAATCTAAAATCTTATTCTGCCTGTATTTATTGCTACTGAAAACACTTTGTCTTTATTTTATATTTGAGCAAGGTAGCATTTATTACACATTTTAATATACAGAACTATATTAAAAAATATTGTCTTATAAAACTATCAAACGAACATTAAAAAAAAAAAATTTTTTAAAAATTTACTAAAAAACTGGCAAATACAAGTCAGAGGAAAAATATACCGGATTCATGATCACACAGTGGTTGTATGTTGTGGCGAATGCATCTCCTTTGTCAGCAGTGATAATTACGTCTGGTGTTGGGTAGAGGGAGAGGCAGTGGTCAAGTCCCCAGTACACGGGCAAAACATGAAGAGGCAGTGCTGCCAGATGACTCTGACTCAATAGTGTCTTTGCAAACTGCAATAAAACCAATTTCATTTATTTAACACTGAAAATACAAACCAAAATGATATTCAATAACATGACTATAAGAAAACACAGTACACATAATATGTAAATTATTTTATTATCATTCTGTTCAGGAAGTCTGGAAATATCCAACATACAAAACCAACTGAATGTTAAAAAAAGATAAAAGTTTCAAGTGCAGTGACATCTTGAATACTGATACCAAGTAAGTAGAAAACTGAAGTGTTCATTGAAAGATAACTGTGGGAAGTGCCCTTGTCCTTTCAACACTATCCTACAACACAATTATTAAGTCTCAACTTCTGGGTCATATACATGCTTTACACCTAATTTAATTTTTTTGTGTTTGTATGTGTCCCACTGAGGTACAGTACATTATATTAACATGTCCTAAAGCACCTCTGCATCAAATCTGAATAAATTATAATACACAGTCCTTAAAACTCACACTCTTACAGGTCTCAAACCTGTCCATCTGTAAGACAGCCTACCACTGAATCATGTGCTTTCAAATAAGGAAGTATGCAAGTGATTAAGTATGGCAAAATACTATTCTTGTTTTTGCCAATACCAATAGTCAATTTTAGGCCAATACCAATACCATCAAAATCAGCTAATACCCATCAATACTGATGCCACCAAAATTGGCTGATATTCACCAATACTGACACTGACACACTATTATTGATGAATGGTTTTCATCTTCCATTACTTGCACACACTTGGACCAAATGATAATCTAATCAATTAATGGTTACAGAAATGCAATAAGGTTATAAACCACGGTACAGGCAGGGATTGAAGGAGGGGTGCTAATGTTGCAGTTTTATAACTGTAGTGTAAGTACCCCTCTGGCAAGACAGTGATGGAGTGAATGATGAAAGTTTTTCTTTTTTGGGCCACCCTGCCTTGGTGGGAATTGGCTGATTGTGTTAAAAAAAAATATAGATATATATACTTTATACACATATTTTTTAACACTTGGCCGTCTCCCACTGAGGTAGGATGGCTCGGAAAAGAAGGAACACCTCCACTGTCATTCAATCAGTGATTTATCTAAATTTTTTTATGTTTTTCCATATTTCAGGCAATTCACAAGTGCTGACTGGAGCTTACATTTCATAATACAGTGATGCAATGTTTACTAACCATATTAAATATCCAAATAAATTAGGTGAGAATATTACATTATTCAAGACTTACATGAGCTGGAATGTCCTCAGAATTGGTGGGAAAATAAACACAGTTCCGACACATCTTGGCTACAATATTTTCCCGAAAGATAACAATTTCTTGGGTACAGTAAAGCAGACGACACGGGTTGCAAACAAAGATGGCACTTGGCACTGTTTTCTTTATTTCTTCAGTTACATACTTTGGCAGTGGAGGTCTGAGGATGTATTGCATCAAAATTATGCATCAGAAATACTAAAGGGAAGATGCTATCCTATTAGTGTTCAATCCCATACATTCACATAATCAATAAGTGCATAGTGTAAATGTTAAAATTCTTTGTAATAACAGCTACCATATTAAATGCTAATGCTGAAAACAGACCAATATCTGTGAAGAAAACCTGGTTGATTAAGCCACCCTGGTGAACTTACTAAAATTATATTATACAATATTCTGGAAGCTACTCTAGTGTTGTAAGTCAGCTTTATCATAATTAAGAAGTGTCTAAGGGTAATTATATAAAATGCAGCACGGGAATCATAATAAATGCTTATACTCTGGAAGCTGGACAAGGAGCTTGGCATTCAGTGGGGCACTACTGGACCCCATTGTGTAAACCCTGTTAAAGGGTGCAGACAATGGGGTCCAGTTAAAAATATATATATATAATCTCATAGAAGAAAAACAAAAATCTTTTAATGTTTTAAATCACCTGGGAAAGATGCTGCCTGGTCCAGGATCACTGGGTCCTGGTACAAAGATAAACTTGGAGTGAGCCATGAGTTCAGGGAACCCTGCAATGAGGGTTCCCAGTGATGTCAGTGCTTGACGTAACTCAGGTGCCTACAAAAAGTGAAGACCATCTTAAACAAAACTTTTATTTCTATTTTTGTCAAGTAAAAGTTGGATTATTTTTTCTCTAGAGTAATTTACCAACATAAATAATTCCTAGAAATACCTCTTCAAATGATTTAACAAATATTACTGTTAATTTACATCTATGTAAGGCTAAGTCATTGATCTTTTTCAACAAGAGACATTAATAAAATACTTCCGATGCAGTATTTAGTTTTGAGGTTTCATGTTATTATAGTTATCATATCATTACTTGCTTGTATTAAAAGAAATGAACAATATCTTCTTCTTTCAACAAACCAGCTGTATCCCACTGAGGCAGGGTGGCCCAAAAGGAAAAACAAAAGCTTTTCCTTTTATATTTAGTAATACATACAGAAGAGGTTACTAGCCCCTTGCTCCTGGCATTTTAGCTGCCTCTTATGACATGCATGGCTCACAGAGGAAGAATTCTGTTCCACTTCCCCATGTGAACCATATACAACTGCAAAATTAGATTAAAGGAAGGCTGAAAGCTATAAAAAAAAAGAAAAAGAAGTAGGTGGTGCATTAAGGCATCCATGGAGACAAAAAATGTTATCCATGGAGGCAAAGAGAGAGATGTACGAGAGTATAGTGGCACAACAATCTTATATGGGTGTGAGGCATGGGTTGTGAATGTTGCAGCGAGATGGAGGCTGGAGGCAGTAGAGATGTCGTGTTTGCGGGCAATGTGTGGTGTAAATATTGTGCAGAGAACTCGTTGTTTGGAGATTAGGAGGAGGTGCAGGGTTACTAGAAGTATTATCCAGAGGTTGAGGAGGGGTGGTTCAGGTGGTTTGGACATTTAAGGAACATGGAGCCAAATGGGATGACTTGGAGGGGGTATATATCTATAGTGGAGGAAATGCAGGGTAAGGGTCATCCTAGGAAAGGTTGGAGGGACAGGGTAAAGGTTTTGTTTGTGAGGGGCTTGGACACTCAACAGGTTTGTGCAAGTGTATTAGGCAAGATAGAATGGAGGCAAGTGGTATCCATGACTCAACATCCTATTGAAGTGTGAGGAAATTATTATTATTATAATGAAGGGTGAAGTGCTAAACCTGTAGGATTATATAGCATCTGTGGAGGGGATGTGGAAAGTATTTAGGCTTAATTCAGGGCACTAGAGCACAGATTCAATTCCCTATATCAAGAGCCCCTCACAAGCATCAAGGAACCTTCCTTGAGGGGAAATGTGAGCAAAGTAACATCATGAAGGGATTCAGGTAAACCAGTTAGCTGGACTTGAGTCCTGGAGGTGGGAAGTACAGTACCTGCACTTTAGAGGGGTAGGGATATTACAATTTAGAGAATCATTTGAAGTATATTATCGGCATGCCTCTGGCAAGACAGTGATGAGATGCTTCTGCAGTAAGAACAGACCCACTAGGCCTACTATACATTTTTGTACATAGTTTTTATTAACAAGAAATAATACTTTTTTAGATTACCCAAAGATAAACTGCACATCATATTATGCTTGCTTAGCATCAAGGTTAAGATGCATTTCTCTAAAAACTTAGTCATTATCATAGACTACTGATGCCCAGACTGACCTGCTCAGCTCCATGGCAGACTGATAAGAAATTACCACAGAAGATGAAAGCCACTGGCGGGAACTGAGCATAACCAGTAAAAAGTGTCCGCAACTTTTCTGTAACCTGAAACAATACAATAATGCAGTAACAAATAATTTCTTAAAAAATTTCTACACATAAATACATAACAAAATTCTAATAACATTCAAGTGGTTTGCTGCTCTCAAGCTCTTCCAGCCTCCTTAGTAGACTTGAATGACTCAAGACAGGTTTAGCATTTTTTTTGTGAATATAATAATAATTCAGACTCCATACTTTCTCACCATAGCTAAGTTGACTCACTCTCTCTCTCACACACTCTCTTTTCTAGATACTTTCATGGTTGGGTTCTTGGGAATCAGAAAACTATCTTTTATCTTCTTGAGAGTGATTTCTCAGTTGCTACTCATGATAATTATTGCTCTAAAAAACAGTACAAGTGAGAATATGAACATTTAAGTTTTCCATTCTCTTCACAAAGGTAGAATTCTTTGATCTTTTGTTTTCAGAATTCTTCAAGAGAATGCTCAATAAATGCCACATCTGAAATGTGAAGCTCACTGCAGCATTTTTCTTTAGGATAGAGACTGGATTGGACTATGTGAATGTTTAAAGAGAGCTGAGTAGTCTGTCTATATATTTATAACATATATACATAAATAAATATAAATAAAATAATTTTTTTTTTTTTTTTTTTCAACAAGTCGGCCGTCTCCCACCGAGGCAGGGTGACCCAAAAAAGAAAGAAAATCCCCAAAAAGAAAATACTTTCATCATCATTCAACACTTTCACCACACTCGCACATTATCACTGTTTTTGCAGAGGTGCTCAGAATACAACAGTCTAGAAGCATACACATATAAAGATACACAACATATCCCTCCAAACTGCCAATATCCCAAACCCCTCCTTTAAAGTGCAGGCATTGTACTTCCCATTTCCAGGACTCAAGTCCGACTATATGAAAATAACCGGTTTCCCTGAATCCCTTCACTAAATATTACCCTGCTCACACTCCAACAGATCGTCAGGTCCCAAGTACCATTCGTCTCCATTCACTCCTATCTAACATGCTCACGCACGCTTGCTGGAAGTCCAAGCCCCTCGCCCACAAAACCTCCTTTACCCCCTCTCTCCAACCCTTTCGAGGACGACCCCTACCCCGCCTTCCTTCCCCTATAGATTTATATGCTTTCCATGTCATTCTACTTTGATCCATTCTCTCTAAATGACCAAACCACCTCAACAACCCCTCTTCTGCCCTCTGACTAATACTTTTATTAACTCCACACCTTCTCCTAATTTCCAAACTCCGAATTTTCTGCATAATATTTACACCACACATTGCCCTTAAACAGGACATCTCCACTGCCTCCAAAGTCTCCTCGCTGCTGCATTTACCACCCAAGCTTCACACCCATATAAAGTGTTGGCACTACTATACTTTCATACATTCCCTTCTTTGCCTCCATAGATAACGTTTTTTTGACTCCACATATACCTCAACGCACCACTCACCTTTTTTCCCTCATCAATTCTATGATTAACCTCATCCTTCATAAATCCATCCGCCGACACGTCAACTCCCAAGTATCTGAAAACATTCACTTCTTCCATACTCCTCCTCCCCAATTTTATATCCAATTTTTCTTTATCTAAATCATTTGATACCCTCATCACCTTACTCTTTTCTATGTTCACTTTCAGCTTTCTACCTTTACACACATTCCCAAACTCATCCACTAACCTTTGCAATTTTTCTTTAGAATCTCCCATAAGCACAGTATCATCAGCAAAAAGTAACTGTGTCATAAATACATAAACACATAAATAAAATACATAACATAAATAAAAAAAGTATGCATGCATGCATATGCTTGATATATAGTATACATTTCTTTGTATCTACCATGACAAAGTTGATACTGTACCTTAATTTTATCTAACCAGACATCCGACAATATAACGAACATAGCATCCTTATTCTCCTGCTCGGCTTGCTGGAGTTTTATAACATTTTTCGAGCATACGCTTCCTTGACCACCAAAATAATTGATGTTCCCCATCAGTGCCCTGTGAAGAAAATGTGCAACAAACTGATGCAAAACAAAGTATATACTGTAGCTATAACTTTTGTAACATTTTACAATCAAATAACTAATAAATTATACCAGTGTTACTTCATTTTTAAGCAAAATAACTTGTGGGAGTTTTTTTCATTGTTATAGATTGTATACAAAAAGTGTAGCTACACTAGTAACTAGTGTGCCTTGTCATATATGAATCACCATACTAGCAGCTGTCTTCCACAAGTTTAGGTGATCCAAGCTGTGATGCATCAGTTTGCAACAAGTAGATTTAACGAATTTTGATGTATAATCAGTTCATTCAAGTCTGGAATTATGACATTATGTAGGAGCCCTTTTCTGATATTATATTACAAGTATTTCAAAATACCATATTTGTTGTAACTGCTCAGTTACAACAAATATATGGTGTCCAGAAAGTCCTCCAATTACAAAATTTATTATAACAATACTCTAAGTTTATAGGTAGATAGCAACCGCCCAGGGAGGTACTACCATCCTGCCAAGCGAGTGTAAAACGAAAGTCTGTAATTGTTTTACATGATGGTAGGATTGCTGGTGTACTTTTTTCTGTCTCATAAACATGCAAGATTTTCAGGCAAGTCTTGCTACTTCTACTTACACTTAGGTCACACTACATATACATGTACAAACATTTATATACACACCCTTTTGGTTTTCTTCTATTTTCTTTCTAGTTCTCGTTCTTGTTTATTTCCTCTTATCTCCATGGGGAAGTGGAACAGAATTCTTCCTTCGTAAGCCATGCATGTTGTAAGAGGCGACTAAAATGCCGGGAGCAAGGGGCTAGTAACCCCTTCTCCTGTATGTATTACTAAATGTAAAAGGAGAAACTTTCGTTTTTCCTTTTGAGCCACCCCGCCTCGGTGGGATACGGCTGGTTTGTTGAAAGAAGAAGAAAGAAACATGCAAGATTTCAGGTATGTCTTGCTACTTCTACTTGCACTTAGGTCACACTACACATACATGTACAAGCATATATATATACACACACCCCTCTGGGTTTTCTTCTATTTTCTTTCTAGTTCTTGTTCTTGTTTATTTCCTCTTACCTCCATGGGGAAGTGGAACAGAATTCTTCCTCCGTAAGCCATGCGTGTTGTACGAGGCGACTAAAATGCCAGGAGCAAGGGGCTAGTAACCCCTTCTCCTGTATATATTACTAAATGTAAAAGGAGAAACTTTCGTTTTTCCTTTTGGGCCACCCCACCTCGGTGGGATACGGCCGGTGTGTTGAAATAACGAAGAATACTCCAAGTTATAAAAATGCAGTTTTCTGCAAACATGGTTTCTTACATTGAATAGCCTATATTTATGAGGCTTCCTAGCAGATGGACTGGGCATGATGACCCAAACCAATGGTTCCCTTCCCTTCGCTTCCCTGATATCACTCTTTTAGACTTCTTTTAGTGTAGGTTTGTGAAGAATTATGGTTTCCAGATATCATCATTAGCTGACATTAAAATACTCCATCTCAGAATAAATGGTATCAGGAAAGTCAGAGTTAGCCAATACTTGGAATGAACTTGGAGTATCAGGTATGTTAAAGGCTACTGGAGGTGCATATGTTCAAGCTACAATTAGACAACCGTGAAGCTGTATTAAAATAATCGTTGGAGATACTATATGCAGAAAACTGCATTTTCATGTCTATCACCCATATTTCTGCCACTTAAACCATATTTTTACAAAATGGTGTCCAAAGGTCAACACTACAGTAAATTACAACACACACAACTTACCATAAAATGGCCCCCATGCCTTTAGACTTCTTACGGGGGTTTCTGAAGACACGTTTTTCATATACTAGTATATAACATTAAAAAATGATGGCATTTAAAAGTCACACTTGATACGTATATTGGTCAATACATATAATGTCATTGGCCACCCAAGGTGCACATGTTGAGGTTGTACAGATCAGACAACCATAATGAAACTTTTTTTGTAATATGAATAAAACCCTCCAATTTATTGTTTAAAACTTAATGATTACATGCAGTCACTGGTAAAACCTCATAAATGACCATTTCATCAATGATCAGATGAAGATTAAATGCTTTTCATGAAGCATTTTTCTTTTTTTTTTTTAGGATTTTTTGGTTTCATTCAGTGACCACATTGCTAATCAGAATTCAAAAAGAATTAGGAGTCAGAACTGACCTTGTTGAGCTGGAAGCCTCAGGAGGTGGCAGCCCAATAGCACTGGCATGTAGCATTCCATCTTCATACCATCCTTCCACCAAGATAAAGCAATTGTGTGTAAATAAACCTGAGAGAAATGTTAACATTGGTTTACAAGCCACACACAACAAATATGTTTGTAGCACAAGTCAAAGTATAAGAAACAATCATTTTACAGTGATTTACTATACCAATATACCATATCCTGGCATCCATGGGCTAAATAAAATAACAGATAATAATCTAGATCCTTACCAATCTATTCAGTATTATCTGAGGGGTAGGCATGTGTTCAAGAAACAGTATTTGAAGCAGAATGAATTAATAAAGACTGGTAGACATCTAACATAAAAGCAAAAGAGGTATAAAACTAGCTAAAACATCATGCTCAGTTAGGTTTACCTAGAGGTTTTTCTACCATGTCCGCTAATCTGGAGGGAAGTTACTGGGAAAATAAGATAACAGAAATACACGGACAGACAGAGCTGTCACTAAGGAAACTAAAACAAGGAAACTGAACACTTATTAGTCAAGGTTTACATCAATAATTTGGAAGTTTGTCACTAAGGCAACACACTAGTGAGTAAATGATGTTAACTGCCTCTAGATAATCTATACATATACTGCTATGTATGACAATTTCTGTAACTGTATTTATGTGTACTTCTACCTGAATAAACTTACCATTAAGCTTGGTGTTGACTTATTATCAAGAGTCTTACAACTTTTGATATTAAGAATCTGAGGTTTGTAACAGTAAAAGAACCTTTTTTGGGTAAAATTCCATATCACCAAGACTTACAACAAGAAAGATACTGACCTGGGTGGAATTTAGCATTGGTAAGATCAAGATGAACAGCCCCTGTGTCATCTTCAAGATGGTGTTGACCCTCAATCAGTTGTGTTAATAGACCTAATGCTACCACACCTTCCAAGCGGGAGCTTGATCCCAACAGATACTCGACCTGAAATGTTACAAATGTTTTAACAATATGTTAAAACCAGAAAGGTTTTAACATATTGTTAATACCTTTCTGCTCTACCTTGTACATATTAAGATATTTCACACTCAATTTTACTACAATATTTGAAAGTGTAGACAGTTACTGCAAACATGGAAATATCTCAAAATGCAGAGCATTTTGAGATATTTCAATATCTGCAACAGCTACAGACATTCAACATGCTCTCAAGTGTTACCAATTTCTCTATAAACTATGTATCATGTTGAAATAAAGTTGTATTTGTATAATGAATTTAGTAATAAGATAATAAACTTGTATATGGAATACATCTGTGCATGAAGATGTCAAATACAATTTTTCTTAAAATCTAAACTTGTGTAAAGGCTCATTTTTCTTTAAATTTCTGGTACTTTTGGGAACACTGACAAAATCTGGCATAAAATCATGAGAAAATATGTGGCATGAGCAATCCAGCTTTAATTTCTTAATAGCTGAAACAACTAGGCCAAAAGTTACATTAATAGCTTTTGTAGTTACATTTAAAATGCTTACCTTCACAAGGCCAAATTTCTTGCTATCCTCATCAGTGTTTCCAACAACTGGCTGACGAAACAGATCATGATTACACGTTCTCTGATAAACTATGCTGTATCTGAAATATAATGTCTTCTATTGCATATACAAATTTCTTGAGATTTTGTGAAAAGAATAAATAATTTTTAACGTCTCGAAAAATTAATAATGACTGCCAATACTATATTTAAGTTAGGTGTAGATTATATGAAGAGAAAGGAAGTCAAGATGATGTAAAGAACACCTCACAAATTCAGTGATACAAATTCAGTAATAAAGTAATATTGATGAGGATAAGTACACTAGTTACCTATTGGTAACTGTCTAGTGGCCCTGGGGTAGAAAGTCTTTGTTTTATACACACCATAGATTAGGTGAATATAATAAATAATAATAATAATAATAATAATAATAATAATAATAATAATAGCAGTTTCATATTATAATAATAACAATAATTATAACAATAAATCTAAGAGAAAAAGAACTTCCTGACATCTCCTGCAATGTGGTTGGGAAACCTCAAAATTGTACCTCGAGAATGTACCATGCTGGATCTCTTGAAAAACATCAGGAGTCTAAATTTTTTAGTCTCCAGCTTTTTAAGTACTTTAAATTCCTGTATAAGAGTAACCGTATTATGACTTGTTTAAAGTTATCACTCCTGTAGCCCTTAAGTAATCACATCCATACAATAAAATATAACAACAAACATATTAAAATTACCTGTCCCGAAAAATCCCAGCCTTATCTGATGGATCTCCATGTAAGTCCCGGGCTCTTGCTGGTGCTAGCACAAATTTCTTCCTCTCTGTATTGTAAATTAATTTGGGAACTTTGTAGATATCCACAATTTGCAAAAGGTTTTCAATATCATCATTTTCAGAAGTGCCAACTTCCTGCAAAATGATCACAATATCTCCAAAGTAATGAGTATGTTTGCTTTTTTACTTAAAAATTTGTATAGCATAACTGGCTTTAGGAGGATGAGTCTATAGCACAAATTATGTCATAACTGGTAACAAATACTGATCAAAATTTTGAATTGGATTTAAAATCTTTTTTGAAAAATGATAAGTGTAATTATCAGCTTCCAACATTAAGATAACTTTATTGAGACTAAATTTACAAATGTTTTTACAGACAGCTATTTTAAATCTCAATGTTTGCATATCAACAGTATTATATACTGTACTGACATGTAAATATGATGCAATATATGATTAATGGCATTTTATTTTATTTTTATCAATAAAATGTCAAACTGCATATTGCATCTTATTAACAAACAATGTTTGCAATAAGCAATGTTATAAACAGTGATGAGAAAGTGAAAAAATATTTACCTGGGCAGCTTTGTGGATGTCTTCCTTAGATATTAATGTTGAACTTATTGGAAGTTTTTGAACAGCTTCTATAACCTTCTCAATCCACTTATCATGTTCATGTTTGGGCAGTGGATTAAGTAGGTCACACAGGTACTTGGCTCCATCACTTACATACAAAACATATGGAGAGGCTTTAGTAATTAAACAACAATATACAAGTCCTGTTACAGACTTAAAAGTCAAAATCATCAGATATTTATACCATAATATTAGAGGGACTGGTTCCAAATGTGTATTCCTTCAATAGGGGTGACTATATGTTAGTAAGAGATCTTGATCAAAGGGACTGAAGTAAACCTTCCCTTCCTCATTTATTATTATTATTATAATCAAGGTGGAAGCGCTAAACCCGGAGGATTATACAGCGCCTGGGGGAGGGATGTGGAAGGCATTCAGGCTTAATTCGGGGAACTGGAGCACAGATCCAATTCCCTAAATCAAGAGCCCCTCACCAACATCAAGGAACCTTCCTTGAGGGGTTCCCTTCCTCAGATCAAATGTGAATCAGTACAATGTGACGTGTGACACAAGACGACAGTATTGCCCTGGCCCAAGATGCTGTCCATCTATGGGCATTCAGATTATTGTATATTCCTATGTATTGCAATTTATAAAAAGTCGAAATTTATGTCTTGCAGTCATCATGGGAAAGAAACCTCGTAATTACCAACACTTATCCTGAAGACAAAAGTTGGTATTGAATATCAGGTTTCCAGCATAATCAAGTTCAATTCAAGGTATGGGAGGCTAACTCTGATGAAACTTTGTTTGAGGAAGATTTAACCACAGGTTTTATAATTAATTCATAATTATGAATCTTGGTGTTGGTCAGATGTGTTGATACGTTTGATAGTAGTAAGTAAGTTTATTCAGGTATACACAAATACAGTTACATAGAATTATCATACATAGCAGCATATGTGTAGAGAACCTAGGATAACCCAAAAAAGTCAGACAGAGTGACTTATTTCCATTGGGGTCCTTTTACCTTATTATTATAGTATAAAGGTTATAATATTTTCTTATTATTCTACAATGAAGATATTTTACTACTTGAGAACTAAATTGCTATAGCTGCACTCAAACTTTTACATTTATACAAAGTTTTCCGTGACAGTCTTTACCCAAATTCAATCTTACCTGCGCACTGCAAGACCGTGTAATTTGAACAAATTAACAACATTATTCTTAGCAGACATATTCACGTTCAGTAAATAACTATATAAATGGCGCGAATGCTCCTGATTGGCTGAGGCTTGATGCGTTCATCGCCAAAATCCGGATCTAAACTAAAAAATCCGGATGTGACGCGCACGAACCAGATGTTATTGTTGTTGACTGTTGTTAAGGGCTACCACAGCACATGGAACCTGAGATGTTCTGGGTTTACCTGGAGAGGGTTTCGGGGGTCAACGCCCCCGCTGCCCGGTCTCAGACCTGGCCTCACGGTGCATCAGGGTCTGATCAACCAGGCTGTATTTTGATTGACTGTAGGTAATCAGTCGTTCAAAATTGCATAAACTTCAAAATTGCATGAAGCTGCTCACAATGCATATATTGTCTGTGAATGGACAAGTTATACTTATATGTGATCACCACATATGTATTAAGATGATCACTGTATTTATTGCCTATATTTGGGCATTTATACCTATACGGGATAAAATTCAATCGAGTATCATGCTACAAGAGCTGTATGATCTCTTACGAGTTTATTACTCGACAGGGAACATAATATAAAAATACGACCGTTTATGGCATGAGTCCTGTTACCAACATATGTTACTATGTATGATAACTGTAGTCACCTAAATTTATGTAATTGTACTAATATGTACTTGTACCTAAATAAACTTACAGAAGTCCGGTCAAGATTTTGCCTCCCAAATGTGGGCAGATAATGGAGAAGAAACAAGTTACCTTCAAAAAAGAGACTGGAACACAATGTTCCGGAGGCCTGGTTACAGATCGGGCCGCGGGGGCGTTGATCCCCGGAATTCTCTCCAGGTATACTCCAGGTATACTCCGGACTAGGTCAGGTTGACCCCTTTACCTAAACTCCTGCAGAACCCATAATGAGAGGGTAAGAAACTCAACCTGATGACAATGGAGGATATGAGGGATACGGGTGACATGATAACTACGTAAAAAATACTGAGAGGAAGGGGAACAGGGACAATGTTTCAGAGATGAGATACAGGAACAATGAGACACAACTGGAAGTTGAAAGCTCAGATGAGTCATAGGGATGTTAGGAAGTATTTCTTCAGCCTTAGGGTTGTCAGGAAGTGGAACAATCTGAAGTGTATTAGTAGAGGCAGAATCCATACATAGCTTTAAGAAAAGGTATGATAAGGCTCTTGGAGCAGGGAGTGGACCTAGAGTGACAAACGAAGGGGTGGGGCCAGGTGCTGTGAGTCGACTCTTGCGTCCACATATAGGTGAGTACACACACACACACACAATTCTCAAATCTTTTCTCAGCCTCTCGCCTCACAATGCATATTCATTTCTGCCTAATCTGCTTGCTTCTCGTTTTCGTCTGCCCTTTGCTTCCTTAAGTCTCTCCATGCTCTTATCCTTCTCTTTTTTTCTCTCCTCTGCTTAAGCTAAGGGCTCTCTTCGTCTTTGCTATTTCCTGTTCGCCTTTTGAATGTGGAATTCTCTGCCTAATGGCACACACATACAAACAACTAAAAAGACCCACAGAACACCAGGCTAAAAGTCTGTCGACAAATGCCTATGAAAACTGGCAACTACCACATCTGCTAGGAAAATGATAGGATGGATAATGAGAACCTTCAAAACTAGAGATGCCAAGCCCATCAAATCGCCTGCTCTCTCTAGGCTGGAATATTGCTTCACATTAACAGTCCTTTGCAAGGCAGAAAAAATTGCAGACCTTGAGAATATACAGAAAATTTTCACGGCACGTATAAGTACGATAAAGCACCTAAATTACTGGGAATGGTTGAAGTCCTTTGGTTTGTACTCCCTGGAATGCATTCTTAAAAGATACATGATAATATACACTGGAAAAGCCTAGAGGAACTAGTCCTAAATCTGCACACGAAAATCACACCCTACTAACAGAACACAGAGAGTAGTAGTCAACAGAGTAAAGTCCTAGGCAGCTACGGTGAAAAGCTCTGTTCCACAAGGCACAGTACTCGCTCCCATCTTGTTCCTCATCCTCATATCTGACATAGACAAGGATGTCAGCCACAGCACCGTGTCTTCCTTTGCAGATGACACCCGAATCTGCATGACAGTGTCTTCCATTGCAGACACTGCAAGGCTCCAGGCGGACATCAACCAAATCTTTCAGTGGGCTGCAGAAAACAATATGAAGTTCAACGATGAGAAATTTCAATTACTCAGATATGGTAAACACGAGGAAATTAAATCTTCATCAGAGTACAAAACAAAAATAGAGTGAAACACCAACGTCAAAGACCTGTGAGTGATCATGTCGGAGGATCTCACCTTCAAGGACCATAACATTGTATCGATCGCATCTGCTAGAAAAATGACAGGATGGATAATGAGAACCTTCAAAACGAGGGATGCCAAGCCCATGATGACACTCTTCAGGTCACTTCTCCTATCTAGGCTGGAATATTGCTGCACACTAACAACACCTTTTAAGGCAGGTGAAATTGCTGACCTAGAAAATGTACAGAGAACCTTCACGGCGCGCATAACGGAGATAAAACACCTCAATTACTGGGAGCGCTTGAGGTTCCTGAACCTGTATTCCCTGGAACGCAGGCGGGAGAGATACATGATTATATACACCTGGAAAATCCTAGAGGGACTAGTACCGAACTTGCACACGAAAATCACTCACTACGAAAGCAAAAGACTTGGCAGACGATGCAACATCCCCCCAATGAAAAGCAGGGGTGTCACTAGCACGTTAAGAGACCATACAATAAGTGTCAGGGGCCCGAGACTGTTCAACTGCCTCCCAGCATACATAAGGGGGATTACCAACAGACCCCTGGCAATCTTCAAGCTGGCACTGGACAAGCACCTAAAGTCGGTTCCTGATCAGCCGGGCTGTGGCTCGTACATTGGTTTGCGTGCAGCCAGCATTAACAGCCTGGTTGATCAGGCTGATCCACCAGGAGGCCTGGTCACAGACCGGGCCGCGGGGGCGTTGACCCCCGGAACTCTCTCCAGGTAAACTCCAGGTTCTCCAGGTACGAAAGCAAAAGATTTGGCAGGAGATGCAACATTCCCCAGTGAAACGCAGGGGCGTCACGAGTACGCTAACAGACAACTCAACAAATGTCAGGGACCCAAGACTGTTCAACTGCCTCCCAGCAAACATAAGGGGAGTTACCAATAGACCCCTGACTGTCTTCAAGAAGGCGCTGGACAGGCACCTAAAGTCAGTACCTGACCAGCCGGGCTGTGGCTCGTATGTCGGTTTACGTGCGGCCAGCAGTAACAGCCTGGTTGATCAGGGCCTGCTGATCCATTATGCCTGGTCCCGGACCAGGCCGCGGGGGCGTTGACCCCCGAAACCCCTTCTAGGTATACCTGATGCCCAGCAGCGGGCAATGTATGATACAATCATATCAGAGAAAGAAAAGACGGGAAGTTTTTATAGAGCATGAAGAGTGATAAAGTTGAGAGAGAGAGAGAGAGAGAGAGAGAGAGAGAGAGAGAGAGAGAGAGAGAGAGAGAGACTCCACAGGTGACCTCGTGTCGGCTATGTTAACACACGTGGTAACTTCTACATTTGATCAAACTATCTTCACGGGGAAGCGTTAAGCTCATAAAGGTTGTACATAGTTTGTACAATGAGAAGTAATCAAGTTTGATCCAAGTACTATTATTTATTTTGCGGGAAGGAGGGGGGGATAGAGCGCTAAACCCATGGGGGTCATAGAGCCTGTGAATAGGAGGTAATCAGTTTGATCCAAGGAGCGGGTAACTCAAATTCCTTGGATGAAGAGTCCTTCACCGGGGTCAAGACATCTCCCTGGAGGTGCTAGCTACTCTGCTAGCCTCACTTGACGTTATTTTATTTATTCCTATGATAGACGAGCACAAACCCGTAGACATCAGTGTCTGGGAAATACGAAACAATCAGGTTCGATCCAAGGAATAAGCAATTTCTTTTATTACCTCTATAACATCTACTACTGATACTTATACTTCCCCTATACTATAACATCTACTACTGATACTTATACTTGTAGTCCCTCATATCTCCCACTATCACTTGTGCTTTTTTTTACTATTATTACTGCCGCTAATTATACGTCTACCACCACGACAATTATCTTCCCTTGCCTCTTCCATGTTATTATTACCATATTATTATTACAACCTCCCTTACCGTATTTCCTCTACATCTTCTCTACTTCCCTCGCCCCAGAGTTCTGACCTGACAATAATCCAGGATAGACCCAAACAGCCTCTTAAGAGGCACGTTACTTCCCTCCTCTATTAATAACATGTTAATTTTTCCACTATAAACAACCTTGTCTATAATTGCTATTACATTTCCTTTGTTTCGTAAGGTGAAGTCTAAGATCTTTCCTTAATTCATGGTATAACTTAAATCTTTGATGACTGTTGCAGAGGTCTGCAACACAATTATAATAATCTTGTCAACTCTGAGGCATCATTTTCACACATTTTCTCTAATAACTTTAGCAGCCAACTGAATTTTTTTTTCAAAATCAGGTTCTGGTAAAACAACAATCATATATATATATATATATTTATTTTTCCTGTTCTTTTATCTACAGATACAAAATAATTCACAAAAGGTAAATAATTTCTTTCACGTCCAAATAAGGTCATGATAATGGCACTTTTAGTGTCCTGCTGAAAATCTTATCTCAATAGGCATGTGAAGACAATTCTATTATACGTATCCATAAATTCTACAGAAAAGCACATACATACATCTTAAGACAATATCACAATACTTGAACTAAAAAAAATCTATATTTTTTTTTTACTTTTCAGTGACCTTAAAAACCTAGAAATATGTCAGTCGATGCGCGATCCGAAGGTGTCCCCGTATTGCGTAACCCCAGTCTCCTCTACTTTAATACATGCGACTAGAATTGTGCAGAGTGCGGCTTAAGTTGATAATGCAATTAGCACTAAAGAACTGAAAAGAATTATAAGAGGCGTTCACAAATCATATGGAAATATCCAAATTTCAATGGTAAAACTGGATATTACATAGCACATAATTAATTAAAACCTTTCAAAGAGGTCAAAAAGACCGATATCCTAAACTACACAAGCACACTAGCTTGAAGCCGTCCAGAAGCTGCATTATCAAGTTACTAACTTGGGAACGTTGAAGTTAGAGTCGACACTCAGAAATTATCAAGCAAAAAGCAGTATTTAATTTTTTTTCTGCTTATAAAAAGTACAGTAAATTTTATGTAAGCTTAGAGTATATATACCAATTTTTAACAATGGTCTTAAAGGCACATAGATGTTATTGAAACATTAAGTTGATTTAATCTTGGATAACCAAATAGAGACAATGAATTATTTCTGATCACAAGAAACATTCTCCAATTTCCTTAATAAAACTAGCATATAATAAGTTATACAACGTAACATCAAGACAGTGTTTCCTGGGGAAAACATCAACACTAAACATTTAAGGGGCAAATTAGATTCCCTCTCTTCTAATAATATGTTATTTTTCCCCTATAATCTACCTTGTCCATAATTACTATCGCATTTGTTTTGTCTGTTTTCGTAAGTCTAGCAATAGACTTCAGGAAATATCCTAGACTTCACCTTACGAAATTATTATAATCAAATTATTATTATAATCAAAAAGAAGCGCTAAGCCACAAGGGCTATACAGCGCTGCTCACCTTACGAAAGCAAAGCAAATGTGATAGTAATTATGGACAAAGTAGATGATAGGGGGAAAATAAACATGATATTAGGAGACAGAGAAACTCAGGCGCCTCTCAAGGTTAGCCAGAAGATGCATTATCCAGTTATTGTACAGAATATAACAAAACTTAACCATGACAGTCCATCCATTTCCGTCAGAACAGCTACTGAAGAGTGATGCCGTTCACTGTTTTATTTTAATCAGAAGAAAGCGCTAAATCCGTAAGGGTCTTAGAGCGTCTGTGGAATGGGTGTGGAAATTTTTTACATAATTTCCTAAAGGTAAAATATAAAAATGAATATAATAACTGCGTATTAAAATGTGATGCTATTTGGACTTTTCGAGAAATTTTAAAGGGGAGGGGGTTGGAACAGCCGGAGAGTGACACGGAAACGGAGACGCCATATTGAAACTGTGTGAACACTGGTCCTTTAATAGTGCAATTATAATAAAATTATTATAATCAAAAAGAAGCGCTAAACCACAAGGGCTATACAGCTTAAATAGTGCAATGTAGTTTTGCGTTGGCCTTCGTAAATTCTAGCTGTAGAGGCAGCGCTAGGGCTCCCCCCCCCCAAAAAAAAAAATGATCCATTAATTAAATGTTCAGTGGTAATACGAATTTCCTTTATAATAACACTATTGTAATTTATTAATAATAATTATATTGTATACTCAGGAAGCCTAATCATATACAGTCCACATAACTTTCATTTACCAGAGAAGCTGGTTTTAATATTGTAATTATTAATTTAATGTCAGGTCTAGCTTTTTGTGAGTGGTGATGAAGTGGGCATCGAGGGAGTGACAGTTCGGTGACCTGCTGTGACTAAGTCCCACTTATCTCACCTAAATTACTTACACGTAATAATTCAGGCAACAACCTGTAAACCTCACGCAGGTAATTGCTCACTTAATAATAATTCATGGGAGGTATTGAAATTCGATTCAAGGAGAGGGCGGAGAAATAATGCCAGTTCCTTGGATCAAGAACCCATCACCAGCATCAAGTCAAAATAAAGCAAAAAGGTCAAAATAAAACTATACCGTTTCGAGATTAAAAGTGGCATAATGACATCAACTTCATTCATTATATCAACTGTCTTTTAGTAAGAGGTGTTGAAATTTTGATGCCTATCAGAGCCTATCTGTGCCTATAACACGGGAACAAAATTTGGGATGACCTATGTTGCATTGTTCCTAGAGTTCTCATACATGTAAATATTTGTACCATCAATCTTGCCAAAGATGCGTTACACAAACGTTGAAAATTTGAAGCCAATCGAATATTGTTCTCTGGTAATAAATGAGAATTTTTGAGAAAAACTAAAATTTTGCTAAAAATGTTCCGTTAAATAGCTTTCCCCTCTAACTTACACTACATTTATTTATTTATTTATTTGAACATGATACAGAGAAGTAAAAAAGGAATACAGTAAAGTGCAACAGTTTATCTTTCTCGTTTAAATTCTAAGTTTTTACAATCCTTAGAGAAAAATAATTTGATTTTAAACAAATTTCATGCTATTTTCACATAAAATGGTCACATCTGCTTCACTTACACTGTTACTTACACTCTCCGCTGCCGTCGATTTTTTTGGGCACGTTTTATGAACGTTTGAAGCTACTGAGGATTTTGGAGAGTATACTAACCATTCCAGGATGTAAATAGGTTCATCTTTGATCATGGGGAGCATGAACATGACAACTGTCCCAAGAATTTGTTACTTGTTCTGTACACTAGTGTTGAAAATTTGAAGGCTATTGGATGAGGGTTTCTCGAACTAAGAGCGAAATACAAAAAAAAAAACAAAATGGAGGAAGATGGAAAAAAAAAAAACCCATTCAGGCATCCTCGTAAGGTACTCCTTCAGGGATACCTAATTCAGGCGAGTTTTTGGTGCTATTAATGCAGCGATACATCCCCTCCCCAACTGCAGGTCATCCCATGACTAAAACCCGCCTTAGGCAACACTTGTCCTGGTTCCTGACAAACTTTACCTAACCTACCTATCCCCATCCCCTCCCCGAGCAACAGTTCTAACATACCTTCCAAGCATTAACAGGAAAACGTCAAGATAATAATAATCATGGGGGAGAAAACGTCGAGGATATACTGCATCATCAGAGTTTTCACTCGTAAGACCTGGTATTTGTAATCGAGAGAGAGTAGTCAAATGTTAACTTGTTAATTACCCACTAACAATTGATGGTAGACAGTGGAATTAGTGGAGACATGTTGGTGGTTTGAAGCAAAGAATTCAGTATTATTAACGAAGCAGAGGGAGCTCATATGACGAATTTTTCTTATTATTTCATGTTTAATTTTGGTAGTAGAGGTGGCCAAGGGGCGAGGGTAGTACTCCATGGAAAGATAACTGAGGTTTTTGTAGAGCCGGAGTAGCTGAAAAGTGAAATATCTTCTGGTTATAATAATTTCTACACTTTTGCTGATACTCTTGATAACTAAGAATTCAATGGGATGTTTGAGAATACTTACGTCAGATAATAATAATAATAATAATTATGTGAGATGTGCGGTTAATGCCTAAGATACTGATAATGAATGAGGTTAAAGTTAAGAATGTGCAAATATTATAATGACCAGGATTTTGCTTTGATGTAATGGAAAGTCCGAATTTTATTACAATTGTGCTTGACTAACTTCTCACGAGCTCCACAGATGAAATTAATATAAGATACAAGAAAATTGAACTGCAAAGTTAATATAAGATGGAAGAATCAATACAAATAACCCGGTCCAAGTCGGACCCATGAAGAGTCATCTTTCTATGTGCGGGTTATTTGTGTATTATTCCAGTCACGATTTTGTGCCTTTTTGTTCTTTAGGGAAAAAGTCTCCATGCATGAGGTGGTTGTCAGTGGTTGTATACTGTTAACATCGTTAACAAATAGAAACAGAGTGAAGGGACGGATCAGATTTATGTAGAACGTCACAGCCGGAAGAAAATTTATAGAGCACTGGGATCAAGAAGTCATTCAGCCCTCTATGTAAAAAAGTTTCAACACTGACAAGCACCACCTACTCACACAAGCACCACCTACTCACACACACAAGCACCACCTACTCACACACACAAGCACCACCTACTCACACACACAAGCACCACCTACTCACACAAGCACCACCTACTCACAAGCACCACCTACTCACACAAGCACCACCTACTCACACAAGCACCACCTACTCACACAAGCACCACCTACTCACACAAGCACCACCTACTCACACAAGCACCACCTACTCACACACACAAGCACCACCTACTCACACACACAAGCACCACCTACTCACACACACAAGCACCACCTACTCACCAACAAGCACCACCTACCCACACACAGCACCACCTACTCACACAAGTACCACCTACTCACACACACACAAGCACCACCTACTCACACACACAAGCACCACCTACTCACACACACAAAGCACCACCTACTCACACAAGCACCACCTACTCACACAAGCACCACCTACTCACACACACACAAGCACCACCTACTCACACCACACAAGCACCACCTACTCACACACACACAAGCACCACCTACTCCACACACACAAGCACCACCTACTCACACAAGATACACACCTACTCACACACCACAAGCACCACCTACTCACACACAACAAGCACCACTACTCACACAAGTACCACCTACTCACACACACCAAGCACCACCTACTCACACACCCACACAAGCACCACCTACTCACACACACACAAGCACACCCTACTCACACACACACAAGCACCACCTACTCACACACACACAAGCACCACCTACTCACACACACACAAGCACCACCTACTCACACACACACAAGCACCACCTACTCACCACACACACAAGCACCACCTACTCACACACACACAAGCACCACCATACTCACACACACACAAGCACCACCTACTCACACACACACAAGCACCACCTACTCACACACACACAAGCACCACCTACTCACCACCACACAGCACCACCTACTCACACACACACAAGCACCACTACTCACACACACACAAGCACCACCTACTCACACACACACAGCACCACCTACTCCACACACACACAAGCACCACCTACTCACACACACACAAGCACCACCTACTCACACACACACAAGCACCACCTACTCACACACACACAAGCACCACCTACTCACACACACACAAGCACCACCTACTCACACACACACAAGCACCACCTACTCACACACACAAGCACCACCTACTCACACACACACAAGCACCACCTACTCACACACACACAAGCACCACCTACTCACACACACACAAGCACCACCTACTCACACACACACAAGCACCACCTACTCACACACACACAAGCACCACCTACTCACACACACACAAGCACCACCTACTCACACACACACAAGCACCACCTACTCACACACACACACAGCACCACCTACTCACACACACACAAGCACCACCTACTAACACACACACAAGCACCACCTACTCCACACACACACAAGCCACCTACTCACACACACACAGCACCACCTACTCACACACACACACAAGCACCACCTACTCACACACACACACAAGCACCACCTACTCACACACACACACAAGCACCACCTACTCACACACACACAAGCACCACCTACTCACACACACACAAGCACCACTACTCACACACACACAGCACCACCTACTCACACACACACAAGCACCACCTACTACACCACACAAGCACCACCTACTCACACACACACAAGCACCACCTACTCACACACACACAAGCACCACCTACTCACACACACAAGCACCACCTACTCACACACACACAAGCACCACCTACTCACACACACACAAGCACCACCTACTCACACACACACAAGCACCACCTACTCACACACACACAAGCACCACCTACTCACACACACACAAGCCCACTACTCACACACACACAAGCACCACCTACTCACACACACACAAGCACCACCTACTCACACACACACAAGCACACCTACTCACACACACACAAGCACCACCTACTCACACACACACAAGCACCACCTACTCTCACACACACACAAGCACCACCTACTCACACACACACAAGCACCACCTACTCACACACACACAAGCACCACCTACTCACACACACACAAGCACCACCTACTCACACACACACACGCACCACCTACTCACACACACACAAGCCACCACCTACTCACACACACACAAGCACCACCTACTCACACACACACAAGCACCACCTACTCACACACACACAAGCACCACCTCACACACACACAAGCACCACTACTCAACACACACACAGCACCCCTACTCACACACACACAAGCACCACCTACTCACACACACACAAGCACCCACCTACTCACACACACACAAGCACCACCTACTCACACACACACAAGCACCACCACTCACCACACACAAGCCCACCTACTCACACACACACAAGCACCACTACTCACACACACACAAGCACCACCTACTCACACCACACAAGCACCACCTACTCACACACACACAAGCACCACCTACTCACACACACAAGCACCACCTACTCACCACACACAAGCACCACCTACTCACACACACAAGCACCACCTACTCACACACACACAAGCACCACCTACTCACACACACACAAGCACCACCTACTCACACAACACAAGCACCACCTACTCACACACACACAAGCACCACCTACTCACACACACACAAGCACCACCTACTCACACACACACAAGCACCACCTACTCACACACACACAAGCACCACCTACTCACACACACACAAGCACCACCTACTCACACACACACAAGCACCACCTACTCACACACACACAAGCACCACCTACTCACACACACACAGCACCACCTACTCACACACACACAAGCACCACCTACTCACACACACACAAGCACCACCTACTCACACACACACAAGCACCACCTACTCACACACACACAAGCACCACCTACTCCACACACACACAGCACCACCTACTCACACACACACAAGCACCACCTACTCACACACACACAAGCACCACCTATTCACACACTACACAGCACCCCTACTCACACACACACAAGCACCACCTACTCACACACACACAAGCAACCACCTACTCACACACACACAAGCACCACCTACTCACAACCACACAAGCACCACCTACTCACACACACACAGCACCACTACTCACCACACAAAGCACCACCTCTCACAAACACACAAGCCCACCTACTCACACAACACAAGCACCACCTACTCACACACACACAAGCACACCTACTCACACACACACAAGCACACCTACTCACACACACACAAGACCACCTACTCACACACACACAAGCACCACCTACTCACACACACACAAGCACCACCTACTCACACACCACAAGCACCACCTACTCACACACACACAAGCACCACCTATCACACAACACAAGCACCACCTACTCACACACACAAGCACCACCTACTCACACACACACAAGCACCACTACTCACACAAACAAACCACCTACTCACACAACAAGCACCACCTACTACACACACAAGCACCACCTACTCACACATCACAAGCACCACCTACTCACACACAGCCCCCTCTCACACACAAAGCACCACTACTCACACACAAGCACCACCTACTCACACACACAACACCACTACTCACACACACACAAGCACACCTACTCACACACACAGCATCACCTACTCACACACACAAGCACCACCTACTCACACACACAAGCACCACTACTCACACACACAAGCACCACCTACTACACACACACAGCACCACCTACTCACACACAAGCACCACCTACTCACACACACAGCACCACCTACTCACACACACAAGCACCACCTACTCACACACACAAGCACCACCTACTCACACACACAAGCACCACCTACTCACACACACAAGCACCACCTACTCACACACACAAGCACCACCTACTCACACACACAAGCACCACCTACTCACACACACAAGCCACCTACTCACACACACAAGCACCACCTACTCACACACACAAGCACCACCTACTCACACACACAAGCACCACCTACTCACACACACAAGCACCACCTACTCACACACACAAGCACCACCTACTCACACACACAACACCACCTACTCACACACACAAGCACCACCTACTCACACACACAAGCACCACCTACTCACAACACAAGCACCACCTACACACAACAAGCACCACCTACTCACACACACAAGCACCACCTACTCACACACACAAGCACCACCTACTCACACACACAAGCACCACCTACTCACACACACAAGCACCACCTACTCACACACACAAGCACCACCTACTCACACACACAAGCACCACCTACACACACCACACAAGCACCACCTACTCACACACACAAGCACCACCTACTCACACACACAAGCACCACCTACTACACACACACAAGCACCACCTACTCACACACACAAGCACCACCTACTCACACACACAAGCACCACCTACTCACACACACAGCACCACCTACTCACACACACAAGCACCACCTACTCACACACACAAGACACCTACTCACACACACAAGCACCACCTACTCACACACACAAGCACCACCTACTCACACACACAAGCACCACCTACTCACACACACAAGCACCACCTACTCACACACACAAGCTCAATTAACGTCCCTCACCGAAATTAATGCTTACTAGGAAGCTGCTTTATATATCAGACAGTGTATGTATAAGCGCAAGATTCTAAAAGTCTACTGGGATGGCATAATCCAATTTCAAAATCTCACAAGATTAATGGAATGTAAGGCTATTATTTACAGTGTCTTAAGTCACTTTTTCCTGGTTCCTCGTCCTGAGTTGGCTCCCATGATCGTGGGTAAATCTTCAACTCTATTAGCTTGAAGGTTGCCTTAAAGCAAGGCTAATAAATACATTAAATTTTATTTTGTTTTATAGCATACTTATGGGTTCGTTTGTGCTGTTAACCAGTGTTTATTACACTTGTGCGTTTGAGAATGAGCAAAGTAATTTATGAAGAGATACAGAGGAAACAAATCAGTCAAACTCGGATTCTGGAAGTATTAAGTACAGTCAGTGCCTGCACTCTTAAAGAGGGTGATGTTGCAGTGTAGGAACTAAATTGACTTGTAATGCCTATGCACTTAGGTGAGCACAGCTTTGGAATAAATGACGGGGAATGTGTATCCTCCTTTGGGTAACCTTACCTAACCTCTATGTGAAGAGCTAAACCAATGGGCATCATACAGCGTCTGGGGAATGGGAGGTAATCACGCTTAATCTAAGGGAAGGGTAGCTCCGCCTCTATGAATCAAGAGCCCTTCACCAGTATTTAGGTACGTCCATGAAGGGTACGAATGCATGTAGCAGCCCGTCCAGGCATATATATACAACACTGGAGCCTTGTCTGTGTACCATATCAACTCTACACCCACAACCGAGTTGCATGTAATGCTATCTAATCAAATATCAAAAAATGATTCATGTTTTATCAACCTAGACCCTACAACAGATTTGAAAATGTTACGACAGTGCTCAGATTATTAGTTTTACTAGGTGCATGGTGGAGCGTTAAACCCGTAGGGGTCATACAGCGCCTGGGAGAATGGAAGGTATTACTCAATTCAAGGAACTGGACCACAGGGTCAATTCCTTAGGTAAAGACTCTTCTGCCCCCCCCATCACCTGCACCAAGGAACCTCCCTCCTGGAGGGGACAGTGATCACAGATAGTGGTCCTTTTCTTGCTGCATTAAATATGTCGCCAGACAATATTACGTAGCATTTGGACTTATTTAAAGGGACAAGCAAGTCTAGGAATAAAAATACTCGTATAAGACGTTAATACACGACGATAAAGATGAGGACATTCTATCTGAATACGCATACGTACTTTGGACACCTATTAAAATTTGAAATGTAAAAAACTCGCAGAAATTACACAGACACACACACAGACACAGACACACACACATAAACAGATACACAACAGACACAGACACACACACAGACAGACACACACGCATACACACACACACAGACCTTCGTAACATTCATACATATCTACGTTATCTTCAGTTATCTTCGAGTAGAGATTCATCTATAGTGTTTGTCTCTATACATTCTAATTAAAATATTTACAGACATTTATGTTAAACTTTAAAAATTTAAAAGTATATTAAGCCAATAAAAATTTAAAGTGGTTCAGCTGGTGACAGGTGTTTGTGAAGGTTTCTTACGAAGTTTGAACTCTCCTTTACGAATGTCTGCCAGCAAGCGATCCACTACACAAGTGCCAGTGTCTTCAGGAGGAGGCAGAGGAGCACCTTTCTTCCTTAAAGTAACACCTGTGGCTTCAGCCTTGGCACGTTCCTCGTCTTGTCTCCGCCGTTCTTCCTCAAGGCGCCTCTTCCGTTCCTCACGCTTCTGTCGACTTTCGTTTTCCTAAGAAGTTTTACAGTGTTATAATGTACGAAATATTGTAAGAAGTGTCCTGGCCTTGCATTCTGATCACTGGAATTTATTGTTGAAGAATTATGGCAAGAAGAAATATCAATAATATTTTAGTGACTTAATTCGTCTGCATAAATAGTTCATTAAGATTGTAACTACATATATACATATAAAAAAAGTTAGTGGTAATGAATTACTGATATCTGAAAACTTCGGGGCCCAGTTCTTGGACCCACTATGTGCCTCTGTAATCTTTTGACTACTGTCCACACCATGGGTATAGTGTACCACCCACACCATGGGTATGGTGTACCACCCACACCATGGGTATGGTGTACCACCCACACCATGGGTATGGAATGCATAATAAAGATATTAAACTAGGAAATAATACTCTACAGAAAACATTACCCAACTCTAAACGAACATTTTAAATCTTGCCTGGTCTTCTAAATTCTTTTTTTTTTTTTTGGTACTATTCTCGTGCAAATCCTCAGAGATACGCACATCCTTTTCATATACTTGTTGATGCATTAATATATACTTTTTTATAAAATAGTACGTGAATATATTACCTTCTGTGCATCCATAATCTTGGTGTTGAGGGTGTGGAAGACTCCCACACAGTCCTCCAGACGAAACTTGGATTCATCCTCGCAAAAATATTGAGCTAATTTGATTCTTGAACGTTCAAGCTCGTGCAGACTCAGCTCCAGGTCCTGCACCACCTGCTCAGCCTTCACTGTGAAGTCTGTACAGGTTCAACCAATCAGAATTATTCTGCACCCACAGATATATTTTAATATTCCCATATTTTTATGGGAATATTATTTAAGACAAAAAAAACTGTCGAGTGATCATTTATGAGGCGTCACAAATGGGTCATTTACGTTTGTGATATAAAAAATAATGAAAAGTGCTAGACTGCAGGTGGGGAAAGGTGAGCAGTGGAGTGTAAGTAATGCAAATATACAGTAAAGGGAAACAAAACAACAAAGAGGAAGGGGAGAGAAAACAGTAAAGGTGATAGTGCACAGGAAGCAGGTTTAGGTAGGTAGTAACATGAACAAGCAGCAGAAGTCAGCCTCTCTAGAACTCAAGTTCCGCTTGTTGTATAAGAGAAACATTATCTGAATGATTCCAGTTACTGCTTTTTTGTCTCGTATACAACTAGTCGGTTTTCAATACACTATCTACTGTTACAAGAGGAAGTAGAGAAAACAATAAGACCTAAACTTGTACTAACTATAATACTGATATTATATTTTTCTCTAAATGCCTTACCCTTAAAATGTTCCTTGACACTGTCTGGAGAGTTTTCCAGTTTCTTGGCGAGTGTGGTGAGGTTTGTTCTCAGTGATGACACTTCAGTCGTCAATCCTTCCACTGACAACCTTCAGCAAACAAGTTAGGTCTTTATAAAAGTTGTGTACAGAGGTACTGTACCACATAAGTAACACATAAGATATAATGCACCTAAGAATCCGACTCTTTCAATTACACATAATGACAAGTCGTATTCCTACACATGCCTATCTTATTTTGAAAAGTTAATATTAACTTGTCAAGTTCATTAAAAATATACTTATCGTTCTTCTGTCACATGAGCTAGGTAACAACGGAAATTAAAATTTTAAAAGCATTGCAGCCTGTATATAAAATGGCATAACCGATAGTATGATGACAATGACACAATGTGCGGGTTATGACATTTTATTACAAGACGTTTCGTCCCACCAGGGATGTTATTTACATACAGACAAGTAAAACGTTTATACAACGCTTGATGAGAGGTCAGCAAGCTGTAGTGTTCTGCAGTGAGGAAAGGAAGAGGGAAGGCAGGGGATGACACCGGCGAAGGGATTTAAGTTAGATCAATCCTAAAACCGACACAGCCTACACCCGAGACCCGATTAAAGGCACAGTGCCCTCCTGACCTGACAATCACGTTAGGGATTGCAGACGATGTGATCACACACTCTCCTAGATGAGGCACCAAAAGAGGAAAGGTAATCCTTAACAACTACTTTCAAACATATCTCCAATACTGTCTCCAACATCAAATTCCAAACAGCCATACTGTCTCTCCTACGGTCAATGACACCACCAGAAAAGGCATCAACAAAATACATAATTCTCTGCAACAACTGGAACAAAATATATGTATGTTAAATATCAAGAAACCTCCACAAAAGCATTTTCAACTGGAATAACGCCTGCGTTTTACATCGAAAATCCAACAATCATTTGATTATTTTTAAGTGCGCGCTACTCATTATCAAGGAAGAAAACATCCAGAGACGTAGACTCCTGGAAGCAGCACTCATCAGGGTGTCCAATAATTTCAACAAGCAACGTGTTTTACAACACAGATGAACCTTTTGCCAAGAAACTTTTAGATCGTCTTCCCACATAGCAACAGCTCAGAGGAGTACCATAATATTGATATAGTGTTCTTCTCAGCACACCTCACCTCACTATGCTTCCCTATAGACGTACTTTGAGGCCAGGTATATCTGGTTGTGACTTGATACGGTCCAAGTTGTTAAAAAAGGATCACATTATACTGCATGTCTCTCTCTCTTGTGCCAATCGCAAATGTTTAGAATTTGCTCTATCGCTATTACCAGCGCCATCGTTCAAAACAGTTTCAAATTTCGGAAATACCCAACAAATCCTGCCCGAGCAGAACATACCGCTTAGTTCTACCCTCCAGCCCGTGCAGCACCCGATATCACATACTAAGTTATTTACTCTTTTTATTTTTAGTTTCTGCACTGGACTGATAAAGCCTCTGGTTGATGAAAAGTTCTCTTAATAAATGTCATAGTTACCGCATGTGTCTTACATATATATGTGTTAATCACCATTCTGTTACCTTAGACGTAGCTGCTATTAGACGACTTATAATGCCCGAGTGTTGTACATGTGTCTTAGACATAATTGCATTTGTGTCTACTAATATATATATATATATATATATATATATATATATATATATATATATATATATATATATATATATATATATATATATATATATATTATATATGGGTAGGGGATGTGTAGATCAAGTGTTTACATTGAAGCATACATGTGAACAGTATTTAGATCAAGGTAGGGAAGTTTTTATTGCATTTATGGATTTAGAAAAGGCATATGATAGAGTGGATAGAGGAGCAATGTGGCAGATGTTGCAAGTATATGGAATAGGTGGTAAGTTACTAAATGCTGTAAAGAGTTTTTATGAGGATAGTGAGGCTCAGGTTAGGGTGTGTAGAGAGAGGGAGACTACTTCCGGTAAAAGTAGGTCTTAGACAGGGATGTATAATGTCACCATGGTTGTTTAATATATTTATAGATGGGGTTTTAAAAGAAGTAAATGCTAGGGTGTTCGGGAGAGGGGTGGGATTAAATTATGGGGAATCAAATTCAAAATGGGAAATTGACACAGTTACTTTTTGCTGATGATACTGTGCTTATGGGAGATTCTAAAGAAAAATTGCAAAGGTTACTGGATGAGTTTGAGAATGTGTGTAAAGGAGAAAGTTGAAAGTGAACATAGAAAAGAGTAAAGTGATGAGGGTATCAAATGATTTACGATAAAGAAAAATTGGATATCAAATTGGGGAGGAGGAGTATGGAAGAAGTGAATGTTTTCAGATATTTGGGAGTTGACGTGTGCGGAATGGATTTATGAAGGATGAGGTTAATCATAGAATTGATGAGGGAAAAAAGGTGAGTGGTGCGTTGAGGTATTTGTGGAGTCAAAACCGTTATCTATAGAGGCAAAGAAGGGAATGTATGAAAGTATAGTAGTACCAACACTCTTATATGGAATGTGAAGCTTGGGTGGTAAATGCAGCAGCGAGGGACGGTTGGAGGCAGTGGAGATGTTCTGTCTAAGGGCAATGTGTGGTGTAAATATTATGCAGAAAATTCGGAGTGTGGAAATTAGGAGAAGGTGTGGAGTTAATAAAAGCATTAGTCAGAGGGCAGAAGAGGGGTTGTTGAGGTGGTTTGGTCATTTAGAGAGAATAGATCAAAGTAGAATGACATGGAAAGCATATAAATCTATAGGGAAAGGAAGAAGTGGTAGGGGTCGTCCTCGAAAGGGTTGGAAAGAGGGGGTAAAGGAGGTTTTGTGGGCGAGGGGCTTGGACTTCCAGCAAGCGTGCATGAGCGTGTTAGATAGGAGTGAATGGAGACGAATGATACTTGGGACCTGACGATCTGTTGGAGTGTGAGCAGGGTAATATTTAGTGAAGGGATTCAGGAAAACCGGTTATTTTCATATAGTCGGACTTGAGTCCTGGAAATGGGAAGTACAATGCCTGCACTTTAAAGGAGGGGTTTGGGATATTGGCAGTTTGGAGGGATATGTTGTGTATCTTTATCGTATATGCTTCTAAACTGTTGTATTCTGAGCACCTCTGCAAAAACAGTGATAATGTGTGAGTGTGGTGAAAGTGTTGGATGATGATGAAAGTATTTTCTTTTTGGGGATTTTCTTTCTTTTTTTGGGTCACTCTGCCTCGGTGGGAGACGGCCGACTTGTTGAAAAAAAAATATATATATATGTATATATATATATATAAATACATACATACCTGGCTGTCTTAGTTAAGTCGCCAAGATCATCAACAAAGTTGAGAATATCCAGTTTCTCATCATGAATAATCTGAACAACATAGTGCAGTAAGGTCATCCCTGGTTTGTTAGCTCGTGTTTCCCACAGCTTGGATATAGTGTTAAGACGGAATCCCAGGGCGTTGCCTGCGTAACTACCCTGAAATATGTCACACGATACTTGTAGCAGAGTTTTATTCAAGGAATGTTCCCTCTGATCACTCACTCGCAATTGTTCAAGAAATATCAAGGTAGAGCAAGCATATTTGTGTTTAATTCGTGTCTTACCCCTTTTAGGTCGGGCTACAAATCGAACTAGAGATTTACCTATCATGGGGTGCTTATAACATTTTGTGCCCGTCGTCTGCAGTCATGGGTGAATTAGGAGAGGTAGTGGTTTTGAGATAATTTGGTGGATTATGTTGCAGTCTTCTTCTGAGAATTCTAGGCTACTGATCCCGAAGACTAAGAACACTATGTCCTTAATTGTAGACTTACGGTGTGGGACTCAAGTTTTTTTTCACCAATTTGCAGAGATGTACACGGAAGAAGGGTACACAGCACCCACAACTGCAGACGATGGACAAAAATTTTCTCAACACTTCAAAGGCGGATAAATCCCTCAGTCTTATTTGTAGCCCTAACAGAAAAGTAACAACTAATATCGCCAAAGCGTTAAGGGGCACGTCAGCGCCCCTGTCTTCTAATAATACGTTATCTTTCTCCTATAATCTACCTTGCCCATAATTACTATCGCAATTTCGATAGTAATTATTGACAAGGTAGATTATAGGGGAAAAATAAACATATTAGGAAACATGAAAACTCAGGCACCTCTTAACTAATAGTGGCTACTACCACCACAGTCACGGATCTCACCAAGACAACCAAAAACCTTGTGGATATTAAAGGTGAGGTAAATGCATGTTGGGGATGTCAGTCTACCTGGGAGAAACAGCCAGAGATCTATACATGCATTAGTGAAAACTAATTATTTCAATAATTTATGTGTTACAGCCTCGTGGAAGAAAATCTATACAGACGTTCTTTCTTTAATTCAGCAGTCACTAGTTTAAGCAGTAGTACTGACCAGAACACTGGGAGTATCAAACTTCTAATAGAGTTTTAGGTAAACTTGTCGTGGGTCATCAAGACAACTCACATGCACCTCCTACATTACACATTTTCTCGGAGAGATACTTTAATACCGATGAAGAATCTTTATCCACTGAATTAGAACTACCCTTCCCTTCCCCATATATAAGAGGCTTTATGACCCATACAGTTTTAGTGCCTCCCCATGAACATAATGTGCGTAAAGATCGTGTAATGTTATAATTTTGAAAATTAAGGTACTAATGCATTAAGAAACACTCACGTTGCTTGGATCAGCGCCACAAACTTACCATGTTGATGAAATTCCCAATAGTGAGGATGTAAGCAAAGAAATCTCTGATGACTTCACTCTGAAGAATTTTATCACAAGTGTTCAGCAGCATCTTGATCTGTGGTCTGAGGTTCTCGGCTGCTGGGGTCAACTCTTCCATCTGAGGATACACAATATGATCAGTAATAGTGTACGATACTAACACAGTCCTGAAGAACGTAGTATACCTTAGTGGTGACGGTATATTCAGAGGGAACAACAACACGCTGCTTCCTGACAGCTCCTAATACTTGATCAGGGGGGGGGGGAAGGATATATACAGTCACGACAGGTATTGGTCCTGGTACCTTGATCACTTAGAATACGTGTATTTAAAGTGATCAGTTACTTAATATTTACTTTCTTTGTGAAACGCTAAACCCTTGTGGTTCATTCAGCTGACTGGGGTAGTGTAGGCTTGATCCTCCATCAGTAATCAGACAGTGAAGTGACCATGCAGCCAGAAGCGAAACTTCGATGATGATGATGATGATGATGATGATGATGATGATGATGATGATGATGATGATGATGATGATGATGATGATGATGATGATGATGATGATGATGATGATGATGATGATGATGATGATGATGATGATGATGATGATGATGATGATGATGATGATGATGATGATGATGATGATGATGATACGTAGGGTCAACCTAAGAGTGAAATAACTCTACCAACAGATGGCAGTGGCGAGTAGACTCACCTGAATCATACCTTCAATAAGCACCTGGAAGGCAGGAACCTTAATGAGGTGACAGTAGAACTTCTCTGCGTTGCCTAGCTTCTCTGTGTCACCTTGGTACTCCTGGATCATCGTCACCTGCATTCGGGAACAAGTGGGAGGGGATATAAATCACGATATACAAAATACTTTGCTGCATAGACAGGATGAATTCTGTCCCAAATAATTTAGTTTTACATAAAGTTCATGTGTATCTTTCAGGTAAAGCGATGGTGGAGGCTTGATCCTCCGTCTGCTAAACACGTGACAGATCTTACATACCGTATTTATTATTATTATTGAAAAGGCATAATACCGTGCCTGGAACAATACACAAATAACCTGCACATAGGAGAAAAACTTATGACAACGTTTCGGTCGTACTTGCACCATTAACTAGACACTGTTAATGGTTCAGTAGGACCGAAACGTCGTCATAAGTTCCTAAGTGAGGATTATTTGTGTGTTATTATTAGACCAAAACTCAGCATCGTAGCTTGCTGAGGAATTTTAACTCTGAAATTAAGCAAATACTGTCAAGTTTACGGACCTCAGCATCGTCGGGCAGGATTCTGAGGAAGCCAGTGAGTCTCTCAGCACCAATGAGAGAACTCTTGCAGTCTCGGATGAGAGAGACTACCTCAGCGTGAGAGGCTCGGAACTGTTTCAGGAAAATATTAACATTGAGAGACTTCTTGGGATCCAACAATGTCACCTCTGCAGACTGTTTCTTGCTGGTGGCCTTAGTTGTGCGTGCTTTATTTACCTGGCAAAATAACTCTTCAATTTGTACGTAATTTAAGGATGAAGGAGGAGTTTGGAGCAGGTCTTTGTGGAACACTCTGCCAGAGGGAGTTACTGATGGTGTTATTGTTAACTTTACTCCAGTTAAGATGCTTCATTTTTGAGCGAGGTCTTGGCAGGGTGTTGTAGAAGGCTTGCGTGCTGCTACATGTCGAGTAGGAAGGTAGAGAGACAGAGGTGAGAAGTGGGTTACGAACACCACCACAGCCTGGAGGTGGTGGTGCTGGTGGTGGAATGCTAAATCCAGGTGGTGGTGGTGGTGGAGGTGGACCGCCAAACCCAAGTGGTGGTGGTGGGCGGCGGCGGTGGTGGTGGTGAACCACCAAACCCAAGTGGTGGTGGTGGGGGTGGCGGCGGCGGTGGTGATGGTGAACCGCCAAACCCAAGTGGTGGGGGTGGTGGACCGCCAAATCCAAGTTGCGGTGGTGGTGGTGGTGGTGGTGGTGGTGGCGGCGGCGGTGCTCTACAACATGGAGGTGGTGGTGGTGGTGGTGGTGGAGGAGGAGGAGGAGGAGGTGTTAGAGAGTCGCTCCATTCTAGAGGTGATGAGTGCCCTCCATGACAGGGTAAAGCTGATGATTCGCTACTTTCTTCAGTTAGTTTCTTCTCGCTAACATGATCATTGAGTGTAGCAGAGATACCTTTAACCTCGTCACTCTCTGGGGATCTCTCTTCTTTCTCACAGTTATTATCCTCAATATCTTTTACTTCACTTATCAAGACACTACTAGCAGGGAGGCTTGATGAAGGAAATGGACGTTCCTCAAAGCCCTCAGGAGGTGTGTGTTTAGCAGCAAGAGGCAGCGGTTGCCGGGAGGTGCCACGGGAAAGCGTCTGTGTAGCAACACTTCTCTGAAAGTCTTGGGAAGACGCAACAACTTCTGCCCAAGTAGTAGTTAGAGTGCCCTCAACGGCTCTAATACCCACACGGTCGAGTAATTCCCACACAGCGTCACTGTAATACATTAAAAATTACATGTATACAGTACAAACTTGCAGGGATATTCAGGGATTAGCACAAAGAACTAGAAAATAAATATGAGAGTGATTAAGTACATGTCTTTAGTGGCAACTTAATGGCTGAAGATGTGTGATCAATCATTCGATATATAATTCACTCTTGTGATGCTTATATACTTAGCAGTCACTATGATCTAACAGCATACTATGGATGTACTGCAGTAATGGTACCACAGATTTCACAGAAAAATAGAAACGTAAAAAAAAAAAAATAGAATTTATAATTTAAGGTTTGTATTAATGAACACTAACCTGCTATGAAATTTAATTAGTAAAACAATTGTTAGGTAAAAGGACACAAGTGCAACTAACGCGACATTTTATTGTGGCAACGTTTCGCTCTCCAGGAGCTTTGTTAAGCCGCTGGTTGGTATACAATAAAAAAATGTACCACGATGCCATTGTGTTGCAGTGTCTGATATTTCACTCTTGGAGAGCGAAATGTTGCCTCAATAAAATGTCGCATTACTTGCACATGTGTCCTTTTACCTAACATATTGTTAGTAATTCTACCAATATTACAAAATTGTGAGTTGTGAGACCAAAAGACAAGTGAGGGCAATATTGTGAGGTGTGAGGAAGGGAAGGAGAAAAGTGATAATGGAAGGAGAATAATTGTGAAGGAAGGAGATGAAATGTTTAAGACCAAGCAGCTAGTAATAATATTTTAATTGAAGACTTGGAAAAATCAATTAGATTGCCTGGAAACATTCCACTGGAACTACGAAGACTTGCTGATACTAACAGGCGGTCCCAAGAGCTGTACTTTTTTTGTTAGTTATATATGCGTCAGATTTTATTATCGTAGCAAAATGTTGCCACAGATGTTAATTTAATATTTTTATTATGCATCCCATAACCATCCTGTGGGCGGTAGTCAAAATATCACAGAGGTACATGCATGTAATGGGCCCAGGGTCTGGGGCCCCAAAGTTCTGATAGCTTAACAAGTTACAGTAGTAATTTACATGTTTGTATCTGGTTACAGTCGTAATGGTTATTTATGCAGGCATAAATTAGATCACAAAAAAAAGAGTGTAGCTTATATGTGGCTTTTGGATTATTTATATTATTTTAGCAAGGTATGGTTGAATTTAAATAAATGGTTATGAATTATTTACAATAGGCATAGTCAAGTATTTTTCCAGAATGGTTTGTAATATACTACTGTGGATAAAATACTTAGACATTTCTTTAATATTTCTGAGAGTTGTCTCTGAATTCATCAATATCACATCCCAGAACAATGACACAAGGCGTCATATTAGTCCATTTAACATTTAATTAAGTCTACATCTAGTGATGTTGATGCAACCTTCCAGAGATGAAGATAAATGGTTGAGAGAACCTTGTGCAATATTTGGGTATCTTTATTGTGGAAACGTTTCGCCAGCCACTGGTTGGCGAAACATTTCCACAATAAAGGTACCCAAGTGTTGCACACGTATTTAATGCATTTTGTAGAGATGTTAGTAAGCCAGCCGAAGCCTGGTAGTAGTGATATCCAAGAGTCTTTGATTTTGCTGGATATACCATAGGCGTGGCTGACCAACATTTGTCTAAATTCTCTGCAATAACCACGAAATGGTGAAATGACTGTGTATATTATTAATATTATAAAAAATAGGAGCTAACTCCAATAGGGTCATACAGCGCTGCATGACTGTGCTGACTACATTGTTACAATACCGAATTCTGTGGCGTAAGGTGCGTGTCATGGGTCGTGGATGATGATTACACAGTAGCAGTAACAGCAGCAACCAACAGCAGCAGCGACAAACCACGGCAGCCGCAGCAGTGAAACACCGCAATAGCAGCAGCTGCAGCAGCAACAAATCCCATCAGTAACAACAGACCGCAGCAGCTGCAGCAGCGGAAAACCGCACCAGCAGTTCTACTGGCCAACGCGAAGTTCACAGATTCTCAAGAAGCCAAGAGTGCAACACTGGGAGTACTTCACTCGTCCTGCTCCACACTAGTCAACAGTTTTTGACACCTCATAAGCTGGAGGCAAGTAAGACCTGCCTAGCCTGGGCTCTTCTAGCTCTCTGCTCTAAACTTGTGTTCATATTTCCTTCACACATATCAAGATAACTGTCATTAGATATATTTAGAGTCAACTAATAGGCTGCTGATATTTCTTAGGCTTAACCATTGTTTACTTTTTTTCTTTCCATTGGTGGACTCTCATCACAAATTAACTTTGGGTTTCGACAAGAAATCACCCACACAACATGTCCTGAACTGTACATTGTGTGTTTTTCCACATGTCTTGGTTAAGTTATCCTAGGGGAGATACACGAACGCTGCCAATTTCATGAAACACTCAACTGTTGACTTCTTGAGGTGCTAATCACGGACATTAATAATCATAGCGCTTGTCTGCCAACATAAATGAGTCACTGATTAATTTTCATGTCAAGGGCCACTAAGAGGTGGCGGACGACTGATTGCCAGGAGTGGCGAGAGAACTCCAGAAGTGGCCAGGAAGAGCCAGGAGTGGCCAAGAAGAGCCAGGGGTGGCCAGAGAGTTCAAGAGGATGGCGGACGAGGCAGCACTACCACCAACACATGTGCTCATACAACGTGGTGCTAGTGTGAAGTGGTATAAATATTACGTCACCATTATCTCTGCTTACCATAATAAAGGTGCCGCTAACACTAACTAACCGCGCGTCTTGTGTATTGATTCTTCTATGAAAAATCACTTCAGACGTTTTGTCACCAGGTGAGCACATCAAGGGTTCTTAAGATGAACGTGAAAGAAGTAACCACCAGAGCGCCATGCTGGCCACGGTGATTTATATTGACAGCTGTGAAGATGAGGTACTGTTAGCACCTATAGCAGCATATAACAGCACACCTGATTCACCCCAGCCGGACCACCCCAGCCGGACCCAGTGATCTGAGTGTGCGCGCGTACTATCCTCCCATCTTGTACTCTGGTCTGCCTTTACCTCCAAGTCTCATGACCTTCCATATATTCGGCTTTAAGTCACTTGCTTGACCACATTTCTAGTCTGTTAAGTTACCCTGAAGTTAATCACTGTCCCTTTCTGTTCTTACTCTTTCCAATGGTTCTACATCATCCGCAAACAGCGACACACAGCACTCAATCCCCTCTCTGGCAGGTCGTTCACATATATTAGAACAAAGGTCCTAGAACTGGTCCTTGCGGAACCCCACTCGTGACTCTCTCCCATCCTGTTATATGTGCTTTCTGTCGTTCATGTACTCCCGGAACCACTGGAGCAATCTGTTTACATCAATATCATTTCCCTCATGAACACAGTGCAGTTGGTTCATATATATCCTGATTAACAAGCAGTATTCAGATGCATATTTAGGTAGTATTGGTCAGCCATAAAGACGACTGTAAACAAACAGGTGTGACACAGGTGTTGCTGTGGCTTGTGTCTTTACCACATGTGTGTAGCGTGGTGAGTCACCACGACTGACCGTCCTACCACACCACAAATCACAATTATATTTTATATTATATATAATGTCGTGCCGAATAGGTAAAACGCGATTTTTGGCTTAAATAGCAACGCTCTTCTTGCCGAATATGGCAAGCGAAAATTTGTGTATGCAATAATTTTGCAAAAAATCATTCTGAACCTAATGAAAAAAAAATATTTCATTGTATTATTAAATTATTGTAAACTTACCTAAAATATATTTAGTTGGATTAGGCTAAATTAAATTGCGCTTTTTATAAGGCTATGTAAATTTTCTAAGGTTCTTTTGGTACAAAATTATATATTAATTTTACATTAACATTGATGAAAAAATATATCTTTAAACTTACAAGAGATAATTTTAGAAAGGACCTAATTTTAAATAAGTTCTTGCTAATTGACTAATTTTACCTATTCGGCACACACACACACACACATATATATATATATATATATATATATATATATATATATATATATAATATATATATATATATATATATATATATATATATATATATATATTTGACATTGAGTTTGTCAGTAGGCCTAATCGCCGATATCACAAAGATAACACTAGTGGCCTTTCGCACTCCGAACTTTCTCTTCATAAGACATAAGATACTAGACATATTAAGCAAATATCCTAAAATTGCTTGAAACAGATAAGACAAATTGTAGACATAAATCCAGATGCAATCCTGTTAATCATTTTGGGTCCTAGTTCCTAGGCCTTTTCTTAAATCCATATGTTCTTGCGCTATCGTCAACAGGATGGACATGAGGTGCACAATAAACTAGCCACTATTATCAACAGGATGGATATGGGGTGCACAGTAAACTAGCCACTATCGTCAACAGGATGGATATGGGGTGCACAGTAAACTAGCCACTATCGTCAACAGGATGGACATGAGGTGCACAATAAACTAGCTACTATCGTCAACAGGATGGACATGAGGTGCACAATAAACTAGCTACTATCGTCAACAGGATGGATATGGGGTGCACAGTAAACTAGCCACTATCAACAGGATGGATATGGGGTGCACAATAAACTAGCTACTATCGTCAACAGGATGGACATGAGGTGCACAATAAACTAGCTACTATCGTCAACAGGATGGATATGGGGTGCACAGTAAACTAGCCACTTCGACAGCAAAATATAATAACTCTTCCCCTTATCCCCAACGATCATATTCATGGAGAAGCACTAAATTATCAGGGGTCTTGCACCTGGAAAATAGGATTATTATAATCAAAAAAGAAGCGCTAAGTCACAAGGACTATACAGCTGGAAAATAGGAAGTACTCAATCCTGATTAGGGTAATAGGGAGGATAGCTCACATTCCTTAAGTCTACAACCCTTAACCAGGCTCAAGGCACCTCCTTTAAAGTTACCCCTTCCCAAAAATAAATCAGAACACTAACTAAAGAGACATGAGCGGACATTAAGACATGAATATAAGATAACGTTTCGGTCCTGGGACCGTGTCCACTTCTAACTCAAGGTTCCTGGACCGAAACATTTTCTTATATGTGTCAGTGTCTGTATAACTATCAATACATCAGAGGAGTGAGTGAACATATACATGATTACACTCTGTATAACATTTATACACACATAATTTGAGCAGGTGGGAGCTCCATTGTTGGTGCTAGGGAGGATAGAAGACAGGGAAACATGCACCAACAGGGAATACAGTCACAGAAACCCAAGGCAAACGGAAACCAAGCCTGTGCACATACTATGCACTTGGTATCTGCTGGCATGGGAAATCTGGAAAAACAGATGGGACGTGCAACTATGACCACCCTAGAAAATGCCATGCCCATATGACAACAGGAAAATGCAAACTCCCTTCCTGTAAGCTTTTTCACCCTGAACTGTGTACCTCTTCAGTGCAGGAAAGACTGTGCTATAACTTAAATTGCCAGGCATACCATCTAAAGGGGACAAAAAGATACAAAACATCCAGGCCATGGGAAAACCTGGGTAGCCACAGCCACTCAAGAGGGAGAGGTTTTTTAGTGCCAGGAAGGAAAAAAAACTGGCAGGAAATGGAAGAAATCGTACACCAAATCCACTCATTCCTGGAGTGGAACCACAGTCGATGGCCTCCACTCCAAACCAACAGATACAGATACTAATGCCGGAAAAAAAATCCCCCCCCCCAGTACCAACAATACCACCAGTCCGATAACATTCTTCTTTGCAAATATACAGGGTCTAAAGCCAGCAACAAACAACAAAATACCTTTCATCCGTGGACTGCTTGCAGAGGCAAAGGCAATGTTCGCGGCTTTCACTGAGACCCACATAAAGGATCACTTGGACAACGAAATATGGATTCCAGGTTACAACCTATACAGATGTGACAGAGTGAACAGGCAAAAGGGGGGGGGGGTTGGCCTGTACATTGCAGAGTCACTTGTTTGCACAGAACTGCTTAATGCCTCAAATGATGTAGTGGAAGTTTTAGCAGTAAGGTCGAGAACCAAAACCTAGTCATTGTGGTAGTCTACAAGCCTCCGGATGCAGCATCCCAGCAATTCCAGGAACAGCTGTTAAAAATTGACCACTGTCTGGAAAATCTTCCAGCTCCTGCACCCAACATCTTGCTCCTGGGGGATTTCAACTTAAGGCACCTAAAATGGAGGAATATAGCAAATAATATTGTTGCAGTAATAACACCATGAGGCAGCTCTGATGAAAACTCACACTCACACGAGCTTTTAAATCTCTGCACAAAATTCAATTTAAACCAGCAAATAATAGAGCCTACTAGACTGGAGAATACACTAGACCTCATCTTCACTAACAATGATGATCTGATAAGAAATGTCACCATATCAAAAACAATATACTCAGATCACAACATAATTGAGGTTCAGACATGTATGCGTGGAGCCCCAGACCGACATAATGAGACTAGTCACGAGGGAGCATTCACCAAATTCAACTTCAATAACAAAAACATAAAGTGGGACCAAGTAAACCAAGTCCTAACCGATATAAGCTGGGAAGATATACTAAGCAACACAGACCCCAACTTATGCCTAGAACAGATTAACTCGGTGGCACTCGATGTATGCACAAGGCTTATTCCTCTAAGAAAAAGGAGGAGTAGATGTAAAATAGAGACAGGCGCTCCCTTTACAGGCGACGGAAAAGAGTAACAGAGCGGCTAAAAGAGGTCAATATAACTGAAATGCGTAGGGAGACACTGGTCAGAGAAATAGCAAGCATCGAACTTAAGCTAAAAGAATCCTTTAGGAGTCAGGAATCGCGGGAAGAACTAAAAGCCATAAATGAAATCGAAAGAAACCCAAAGTATTTCTTCTCTTATGCCAAATCAAAATCGAGAACAACGTCCAGTATTGGGCCCCTACTTAGACAAGATGGGTCCTACACAGATGACAGCAAGGAAATGAGTGAGCTACTCAAGTCCCAATATGACTCAGTTTTTAGCAAGCCGCTAACTAGACTGAGAGTCGAAGATCAAAATGAATTTTTTATGAGAGAGCCACAAAATTTGATTAACACAAGCCTATCCGATGTTATCCTGACGCCAAATGACTTCGAACAGGCGATAAATGACATGCCCATGCACTCTGCCCCAGGGCCAGACTCATGGAACTCTGTGTTCATCAAGAACTGCCTTTTCAAGCCTTTTCCATCCTATGGAGAGGGAGCATGGACACGGGGGTCGTCCCACAGTTACTAAAAACAACAGACATAGCCCCACTCCACAAAGGGGGCAGTAAAGCAACAGCAAAGAACTACAGACCAATAGCACTAACATCCCATATCATAAAAATCTTTGAAAGGGTCCTAAGAAGCAAGATCACCACCCATCTAGAAACCCATCAGTTACACAACCCAGGGCAACATGGGTTTAGAACAGGTCGCTCCTGTCTGTCTCAACTATTGGATCACTACGACAAGGTCCTAAATGCACTAGAAGACAAAAAGAATGCAGATGTAATATATACAGACTTTGCAAAAGCCTTCGACAAGTGTGACCATGGCGTAATAGCGCACAAAATGCGTGCTAAAGGAATAACAGGAAAAGTCGGTCGATGGATCTATAATTTCCTCACTAACAGAACACAGAGAGTAGTCGTCAACAGAGTAAAGTCCGAGGCAGCTACGGTGAAAAGCTCTGTTCCACAAGGCACAGTACTCGCACCCCATCTTGTTCCTCATCCTCATATCCGACATAGACAAGGATGTCAGCCACAGCACCGTGTCTTCCTTTGCAGATAACACCCGAATCTGCATGACAGTGTCTTCCATTGCAGACACTGCAAGGCTCCAGGCGGACATCAACCAAATCTTTCAGTGGGCTGCAGAAAACAATATGAAGTTCAACGATGAGAAATTTCAATTACTCAGATATGGTAAACATGAGGAAATTAAATCTTCATCAGAGTACAAAAATTCTGGCCACAAAATAGAGCGAAACACCAACGTCAAAGACCTGGGAGTGATCATGTCGGAGGATCTCACCTTCAAGGACCATAACATTGTATCAATCGCATCTGCTAGAAAAATGACAGGATGGATAATGAGAACCTTCAAAACTAGGGAGGCCAAGCCCATGATGACACTCTTCAGGTCACTTGTTCTATCTAGGCTGGAATATTGCTGCACACTAACAGCACCTTTCAAGGCAGGTGAAATTGCCGACCTAGAAAATGTACAGAGAACTTTCACGGCGCGCATAACGGAGATAAACCACCTCAATTACTGGGAGCGCTTGAGGCTCCTAAACCTGTATTCCCTGGAACGCAGGAGGGAGAGATACATGATTATATACACCTGGAAAATCCTAGAGGGACTAGTACCGAACTTGCACACGAAAATCACTCACTACGAAAGCAAAAGACTTGGCAGACGATGCACCATCCCCCAATGAAAAGCAGGGGTGTCACTAGCACGTTAAGAGACCATACAGTAAGTGTCAGGGGCCCGAGACTGTTCAACTGCCTCCCAGCATACATAAGGGGGATTACCAACAGACCCCTGGCAGTCTTCAAGCTGGCACTGGACAAGCACCTAAAGTCAGTTCCTGATCAGCCGGGCTGTGGCTCGTACGTTGGTTTGCGTGCAGCCAGCAGCAACAGCCTGGTTGATCAGGCTCTGATCCACCAGGAGGCCTGGTCACAGACCGGGCCGCGGGGGCGTTGACCTCCGGAACTCTCTCCAGGTAAACTCCAGGTAAACAAGTGTCTGTGTTGCAAACACCAGTGTGTGGTGGTGGTGGTGTCACCTGGCCGACTGTGGGGAAGACTGCTGAGCTGTAACTCTTGGTCCTATCTGTTGGTTGTTTGAGATAGAGGGCAGGTTGTGTGGGAGAGGGGGCAGGTTGTGTGGGAGAGGGGCAGGATGTGTGGGAGAGGGGGCAGGTTGTGGGAGAGGGGGACAGGTTGTGTGGGAGAGGGGGACAGGTGTGTGGGAGAGGGGGACAGGTTGTGTGGGAGAGGGGGACAGGTTGTGTGGGAGAGGGGGACAGGTTGTGTGGGAGAGGGGGACAGGTTGTGTGGGAGAGGGGGACAGGTTGTGTGGGAGAGGGGGACAGGTTGTGTTTACCTGGAGTTTACCTATAGGGTAAATTGGGGTATAGTGTAGAATAATACTAAAATCTTTATTTCTACAAGTACATGTACAAAGCATGCAGGCCTAACTGACATCAATGGCATACTACTATATAGAAAGCCTCTTGTTATACAGAACATTTCAGGCAAATTAAGTCAGTTTTCTCCCCAGCATGCGACTCACACAAGTCGACTAGGACTCAGGTATTTATCTTATTGCTAGGTGAACAGGGACAGCAGGTGTCTTAAGGAAAAGTCCTAATGTCTCCACATGTACCGAGGATCGATCCCGGACCTCATTGTATGAGCTGAGTGGGCTAGAAATCGAGCTACAAGCTATAGGCTTAAGCTCGCCCGAAATGCTCTGCATAACCATAGGCTTTCTACATGCATTCAAGTGTCATCCACTTCTGTATAAACAATGTATCATATGGAAATAAACGAATTTCAAATTTGAAGCTGAATAAGAAAAAATATCCTCCGGTGTCTTAAACTTCCACACATGCCACACAACATACACCATCCCCGCCACTACTTACACTCCACTAAATATATACCAACCTTTCTTCTTTATCAGGATCCAGTTTAGTGAGGTTATGGATGAGGGCCAAGAGCTGGAGGGAGTGAGGTGTCTCCCGAACCTGCAACATACACAAGAGTGAGTCAGTACAGCTGGGGACTTACAGATCACTCCTGGGGAAGTTTGGTCAACAATATTAGTTATGTATTATCCTCACCGTACGGTGAAATTCTGTTTTCATAGACAAACATACCTAAAATATGGAGACTGTATCCTCATGCGTTATACATTACGAGTTAGTTGAATGATCAGACTAATCTATGCCATGACTATAATATTAAAAAGACAGATTATTTCTAGTGGGTAAAGATCTTCGTCTATAATCCATTTTGTGGTTCTACCGCTTGTAAGAACTGCTACTATAATAACTACTGAAGCTGAGGACAACTACAACTACACACACTAAATCTCAGACAGCTGTTCATTTCTAACTGTCAATTATTCTTTGAAGTATAACTTTAAGTGTTGTAAAGAAAGAGGTTACATTACCTTATTAAAGAGATCATTGAAAGCTTCGTAGTGGTTGATGTTAAGTTGTCCCTCGTGTCCATACATTTGTTCCTGGTCATCCTCGTAACTGTCCTCAAACACTGACACTTGAAGTGACAACTGGTCGTCCTCCACTGTCTTCAAGTCTTGCAGTATCTTCAGGAAGTTCAATCCTGCTCAACAACACACAGATTACTTGATAAATCTTTATATTATAATTAGAAGGAAGCCAATAGAAATATCTGTTCTATTTAATCCACTTGTCTGAGGATGGGAAGTGACAAGACCGACCTTTTGGTTTTATAGTACTTGTGAAAAATATCCCACCAACTCTCTATAAGGATCATTACAACACATCCCTGGCTGTTTTTAGCAGAGAACTTTGTAAATTCCTCAAGCCAACTCCTGATCATCTCGGTGTATATACCTGAAGGCTACTTACAATAAAACCGTTCCTATGGTCACACGGACGGCAGGTGAAACCGACACCAACACAAGACAGTTAACGAAGGCCACCATTGTTTTGGTAGTCGAGAATTTTGCTACTACTCAGTCCATCACTCACGTGATCTATATCGCTGTTTCTTGAATACCTGTAACAGAAAATCCCAGTTAAAGCAACTATATAATTAACTGCGTAGCGTAATAAGTTAACATATACTATTATAAATTACACTCGAGATTATGTTATAATTATATGCCTTTAAGTACTTGTACCTAACTGTTTTAACCACATTCGCTTCCATATTTATTCCCCAAATTATATATTAATCATGCTGCGAGTAATGACATTATCACCAATAGGGAAAGTGTTACTAAGTGGGTAATACAATACCTGTGCTATGAAGTAGCTTCATTTCCTGAATTAAAAGCTCGCCAGCATCAACAGCACCTTATTTGAAGTTTGAGATGCAGGTGACATTTTCATGGAGTGTACATGGGGTAATAAGCCATAGTAGTTTTTGAGGATGAAGGCAGGCAGCATTAAAGATTCGATCAAGGAAATGAGGGTAAGTTCAGGAATCCTTGGATCAGGAACTTATAATAACGTCAGGTGCACCAAAGGAGGATGACCTCCAAACGACAGGTCACACTAAGACTGACCTTCAGCAACGCCAGGCTTCACTAACGAAAGAGCCTACTCAGCAACGACAGTCACACGTGAAAGCAGTAATCACAACCATACCTGTATATGTAAAGACTCAAAGCAAGATATGTGTCCTTGTTCAGAGTAAACACTAACAGTCAGAAAACACAACACGCCTGCTTGTTACATCCAAAGCATTTGGTTGCAGAGATCCAGAGCTGCAACAAAATAACATCTATTTCAACAGTCAAAATAAACTAAACAACATTACAACCACTGAAAGACAAATTACAGACACTGTAACACGAATTTCATACATTGCAACACGAATTTTATGTCAAATGCATTGCGAATGCAAATATCGTATTGTCAACAATAATGAAAAAAAAATTGAAGAGGCTCTGTCACCTCTTAAATTTTAATTTTTACAGAATTAAGCTATTTCTGCCAGTTACAAAATAAATTAATTGTTTTATCCCTGCTAGCATGTAGTAGTTAGTTAAGTTGGCAGAGATCCACAGTAAGCAAAACTTGCACTTGATGTGGGACTTTGTTGCAATTTACTTTGGAAGAATATAATTAAAGCCTAAAAGCTATATGTATATTCCTGCCTCATTTGAGGCCCTCTTTAACTACCATATGAAGACTACGTGAAGAAAAACGCTCATCTTAGCCCCGCTTGAGCAGACTGATGAAGAGAGGCTGCCATTAGATGTCCTAAGTATATGCACTTGTTTCTTTCATCCACAGTATCATTACAACTTATAATGACGTAATCCGATAAGTGTTGATTCAGTGAGGTGTAGACACACTGTGCTTGCTACTAGAGCTTACATTTGGCAAGTTTCCTGGTGTAGCTGTCATTGTTAATGATGTACTCCAGACCAGTCTTGGAGTTCATCACTGCCTTAACACACAGAACACACTCCAGCTGCAGCAAGGCGTCAGCGATGGAGGTAAAGCCACGGTCACTTAGACGTTCTAAAGACTCGAATAACACACCTAAACCATCCAAGTTCAAGAAATCTTCCAGCCACTCTTTACTCGCCTGAAAGGAAAAAGTGCGTCATTAAACAACATACATACATCAAACAAGTTTCTCGCCCTCTGAACAGGGTAGAGTTATTGCAGTACCATCAGTAAGTTCAGTGCCAGTTTTTTTAAAAACCTTCAGACAAGTTTGATTCAGACACGGGGAAAATTTTTGAGAATTTTTATTCTGGAAAATTTTACGCCCATCCAGTTTTTAGTCCAATACGAAAAGAACGACGAAAGAGATTGGGAGGTAATAGTTCCTCGCCTCGAGTCGATGTTTTCGTCTATCAAGATTGATGGATTGAACACTCGCCGCCCATTTCCACCTTCTCTGAGGGAACTGAAGAAGCCACGGGATACAAAAAAAGAAAATTCCCAAATATTGCCAGAGGTTCTTTACAGGTTAAAATGTCACCGTACCTTGTCAATAAACCAGGTTCAAACTCTAACTTACCATTTCAAAAGTTTCTTAAACCCCAAGATTTTAGAGACATGGGGATTTTCCAAGTGTTCACACCCCCGGTTTCCCCAGTTAGCCGGTTACCCTACAAATATTTTGATTATCCAGAAAGATAATTAAATTTATAAAATTTGCAAAAAAAAAAAAATTGAAGAGGAAGCAAAAACATAAATTTTATAAAAGCATTTAATCATTTATTCTCACCCAAAAGGGCCACCAAAAAGGGTACAAAACTGTTAAGGTTGGTGGAAGTACAGGAGCAAAAAAAAAACCCTTAGGGGTGAACACACAACTCAAAACAAGCTTTTATTGGCAAAAAGGGTAAAGGGAAGCTTTATCCATAGTTTCCTTCAAGGATTTTCTCGCGTTATCTTTCCTTCCCTAAAAGTTTTCTTGTATAAAATTTTACATTAAAAACTTACTCTGTTTAAGTGTTTTTGTATCACGGTACATTGTCGACACTGAATTCAGCACCCCTAATAAAATAAATTTAACTTTAAAAGTATTACCACAACCCTTTTTGCTACTTTAAATCCAGTAACATAAGCGATGCTTTTAAAAAAATTTTGCTTATAGTTCTATTCCCATTTTTAACTATAATTCAAACATTACTACAAGTTCTCTTAGGCTGATGCTGCAACTAAGCGTCCAATTACCTGACCCAAGTCCAACACCAAGATTTGTGGTTCATTGATAACAGGAACAATGTACTGCTGACTCTGTATTTAACAATTTTTGGAAGAATATTACAGAATCGTAAACAATCAATCAGCCAAAAAATAAAGGACCCAATGAGGGAAATCGGACTAAAAAAATAGTGTAAGGTGATGTTTTAAGTCTTTTAAGATGGAGAAAATGGCTATAACAAATTAGTGAGCAGATGACTTTTGAATGTATTTGGGAGATCAGTGGTACAATGATCGCATAGAAAATCTTTGAGAACATAGACCAGAAAGTTTTAAAATACTGTACAGTTTGCATTAATATAATTTGTTTAAATAATGTGTATGCATGTTTATTCGAAGACTGACCTGAGAAATGTCCTCAAGAAGGGGAAGTAAAAAATTCCTGTCAGACTGGAAAAACTTGAGGCGGATGCCCGGGGAAAGAGAGGTCTCCCTGGGGTGCTGCTCCACCCCTTGTATCATTCCGCGCCTAGTTGACCACTTCAGTACAGCTGCCTCTTGTTCAACTTACTTATCTTCCTAGTTCATGTCGCTTTTACTGCTGCCAAACCTCACTGGGCCGGGGGCTTAATGGGCCCAGTCCAATGCTGGTTTTGATGTCATACCGGAGCATCCCAAAAAAACCTACCTTATGTGGGTAGGAGGAACAAGTTGGAATTATCACAGTGATCCGGACCATCGCTGCTCTGGTTGAGGAGCCATTTCCCTTATCATAAATCATCTCGAACGGTCAAAAAATTCATCGTCACTTATGAGAGAGACTTGTTTCCCATCCTCCTACTCACCCTGCTTCACGTCCCCCCCCCACTCACCCTCTTCCCACGCCCCATCCCACTCATCCGACCACGTCCATCCTCAATTATCCTGTTTCCCCACGTCCATCCCATCACCCTGCTTCCTGAAAAAATTTATTCTTTATATTATACAAATCTTTTTTCCAAAATTCCATCGCAACCAATCTGAAAAAAAAAAATATTAAAAATTGTACTCAATAAAATTTAAACACATGGGCCGTTTCCCACCAGGCGGGGAGATTGAAAAGAAGAAACATTTCATCATCACTCCTCCATTCTGTCTTGCCAAGGCTGCTCCTGAGTCACTGGAGGACGGGGGGTAGGGGAGGACATGATAACGAAAAATACTGAGAAAAAATTAAGAAAAATAGATAAGTTTTCGTTGGGTTTTTTAAACCCCCGGGGGGTTTAAACCCCCAGGTAACCCAAAAAGTCAGTGCGTCTCGGGACTGTCTAACTTTTTTCCTTGGGTCCTTAATTTTGCCCCCCCGGGAGCGACCCACACCAGTCGCAACCCCCAGGTCCCATTTCTGCTGGGTGAACGGGACAACAGGTGTAAGGGAAACGTGTCAAAATGTTTCCACCCCCGGGGAAACGAACCCCCCCCTTCCGGTGTGAAGCGGAGCTTTGCCACCGGGCCACCGGCCTGAAAAGGTTGATAGGGACAGGTTTTTTCAGAGAGGGGACACAGCAAAAAGGGGTCACAACTAGAAGCAAAAGACTCAAATATCACAGGGATTTTGGGAAAAATTTTCTTTACCCCACAAGTTGTCAGGAAGTGAAACAATCTGGAGAGTGAACGCGGAGGCAATCCATACACAAAAGTACGAAAAGCCATGGAGCAGGGAAAAGAGTGGATCTAGTACGACCATGAAAGGAGGGGCCAGGAGTATGAATCGACTCCTGCAACCACAATCAGGAGATACAATTAGGCGGTACACAAAACCACACACACCACCACACACGTGGGAGGTGTCAGAGTGGGCACCTGGCCCAGCGGGGCCCCACAGGGGTCACCCTGGACCAGTGCTGTTTCTGGATTTGGAACGACATGAGGGAAAGGGAATAGACTCTGAGGTGTCCCTGTTTGCAGAGCAAGTTGAGAGAAGAATTCACTGATCGAAGACCGGGCAGAACTACAAAGGGATCTACAGGCTGCAACCTGGTCCCGCAATTGGCCCTGGATTCAATCCACCAAGTGAAAAGTCATAAAGATTGGGGAAGGGCAAAAAAGACCCAGACGGAGTACAGTCTAGGGGGCCCAGAGATAAAACCTCACCCCAAGGAAAAAGTTTTGGGGGTGAATATAACCCAGGCCATCTCCTGAACCATATCAACCAAATAATGCTGCGCAAGGGCCCCTAGAAAACCTCAGAACAGCTTTCCGACATCTTAAAAAGGGAATCTTTCAGGACCCTGTACCCGTGTACTTTTAGGCCAATTTGGAGTAGGGGCACCATTTGGAACCCACACAGCCAAGCACGTAAAGAAACTAGAGAAAGGAAAAGGTTTGCAACAAACAGTCCCCAAGCTAAGGGTATGTCCAAAGGAGGGAGGTTAAGGGGAAATAAACCCGGGCGACACTGAGGACAGGAGAGATGGGGGGGGACATTTAACGACATACAAAATCTGAGGGGAATTGAAAAGGGGGGACAAAGACGATGTTCCGAAATGGCACAGTAAAAAGGGACACAGTTGGAAACTGAAGCACAATAAATCACAGGGAGTTAGGAATATTTCCCCACCACAAGTATCAGTAATGGAATATTTGGGGAAACGATGTAGGGGAGCGGACCATACATAGCTTTAAGCAAGGATATAAACTCCGCTGGGGGAGAGGCCCTATGCGATCAGTGAAGGGCGGGGCCGGGAGCTGGACTCGACCCCCGCAACCTCAACTGGGTGAGTAAAACTGGGGTCACACACACACGGTCACGACAAGTGCCCAGGGCAAAGGAAACTAAGACCTGCTAGGTAACGTAGTGTACCTGTGATCTAGTCTAGGTAAACACTTTGGGACATATAATATAGGGGCAAAATGTGTGAAGTTAGGTAAGAACTATGCAAAGTTAGGTTCTTTATTTCGAAACGTTTCGCCTACACATAGGCTTCTTCATCATAAAAAAATTTGATAGAAGCAAAAGATACTTGAAGCGAGAAATCATCCCACCCTTAAAGTTTTTGAGGTGGTCAGCCCCCTCAGTGGGGGAAATAGCATTTTTCCCTTGTCTGAAACAATATCTGTACTCGACTGAAGAGCCTACGGTAGGCGAAACGTTTCGAAATAAAGATCCCTAACTGTTGCATATGTGCTACCTAAAAATCTGTCGTATTTTATACCTTTTTAATTTTCAAGTGTGTGAATTGTCTCACGTCTTACCAACGAATCAAAATTTGGTTTTTTTCCATGCTCAAAAAGGACTTTTCCGGGTCTCCTCAATCTTTTTTTTTTTTTAAATTTCACATACAAGAATCCCCTATGGGGAAAAATCCAATATTTTTGGAAAATGTTGCAACGATGGCAACACCCAGGAGTCTCCCAGACACTGTATACAAACATTTTCAGTTTTTTTTTTTGGCATGTACGTTTCTTCAAAACTAAACAGTGCTGTTCCCCCTCGTAATAGCTTTTACCAAAATCATAGGCAATATTTTGTTTTGCTTAGATAGCTGTAATGGATTAAGGAAAAGTTACAATTTTATGTAATGTCAGTTGAGGAGGGATCAGGGACTTGTACAGTGTTGGGAAGGGGAGTGATTAATTTCCCCTTTGACCAATTTTAAAAAAAACTTCCACAAAACAAAGTTGTACGCAACGTGTAACCCCATAAAAAGTATTACCTGCGCCAAACACTGCCTTCACAAGGTTCCCTTCCCCCCCCAATTTTTTATTTAAAATTATTATTTTTTTCGGAAAAACATTGAAAACCCAAATAAAAAAATTTAGTAATAAAAAATTTTATAAAAAGCAAACATTTTTGGGGGGAAATCCCAAGGGAGATAATAAAATAAAAAATAATAATAAAAAATAATAATAATAATAAAAATTTTAAATAAAAATAACTTTCGATCGAAGGTTTTTAACCTTTCCTTTTTCCCTTGGGATCAAATAACTCAGTTTTTTTATGCAATCAAAAAATAAAGAAACCCTTTAAATCATGCTTGTGCATTTTTTTTTAAAAACAATTCAGAGGGAAAGTGTTAATCCGTAATTAACCGGGGTTTTGTCAAGTTGACATTCATCGTCACAAGGATGGGACTTCCTGAGGGACTTGAACGTTTTCCATAAAAATTGCTTAGAGAAGGTGTTTGTGTCCCTTTTCTTTAAATTTCAGCAGTCATTTGTTTATTGCTACCCCCTGTTTTTATAAACAATCCCCAATATATTTTAACCAGATATAAACTTGTAAAAGTTCATTACCACTGTAACTTGTTTAATTTCAGAACTTTGCGGCCCAGTCCCCCGGACCCCCTTTGACTCATAATGTTAAGGTACAGTCCCCCGGACCCATATTACCCCAGTAAGTTAAGGACAGTCCCCCGGGGCCCATATGTACCTCAGAAGTTAAGGTACAGTCCCCCTACCCCTTTTGTATCAGTAAGTTTAGGTACAGTCCCTGGACCCATTTTGTACCCCTAATTTTGATACCACCCACCATGGGTATGGCTCGTAATGATATTAATTAACTAAAGAATTATATATTTTAAAACATCTACTGCACTGAGCTTCAGGGTAACCTTTGGGGGTATATGATAAACAAGAGGAACCGGGGTTTTTTTCACACTAGTATGCTACGCTGAATACTACTACTGTACTGCTGAACTATATACTGCTTAATACCCAAAGACTTTTTCTCATCCCTTAACCTCTGAAATTTTTTTAAGTTACATACCTACTTATTGAACCATTACTTACCCATTTATAACTACCGATCACTCTTCCATGTTAAATTTTTCATAATTTTTCCCTGTCAAACCGACAGGGGCATCAAGTAGAAAAAAATCTACTGGAACATGTCTTTGTGTACTTTATGGGGAAGGGGGGATCCGATGTGCACTGAGGAGAACGTTTACATACCAATTGTGCATTTAGGGTCAATTCAAAACTCCTAGCCAAATTTTTTTAAATCTTACCGGCCGCATTTACTAATTTCTTGCCTCGGGGGGTTTTTCCCTATTAACCCTTTAAACTAATATGTGGGGGAAAAAGAGGGTTTGGTGGGCGTGGGGGTACGTCATACTTTCTGAAAATTATGTATGCAGGGCTTTAAAATCGACAAAAAACAACACATACAACACCAAACACACCAACACACACACCTAAACACACACAAAAAACACACCACACATACAGTACTGCGGTGCAATCAACAATATAAAAAGGTCAAGCTGTGCTGGCGCCCCCCATTGTGTTGGTGATTAATGCGTCACCATATAGTGCTTTAAGGTGGGCTCCATGTTTTTTCTTGTTTTTGTTGTAGTTATTTTTGTTCTGCCTTGCTCACCCCTTGATCACTGCTGCAAAGATTTTTGCGCACTGCTCTGTTCAGCCATCAAAACTTTGGGGGGCCCGTCCTGGGCCATTGTGTACCTCTGTAATCTGTAAAATACCTTGTAACTTGTCTGATTGTACTAGACCCACCTGGAGTTCATTTCCTTTTTTAAAATTTTGAGTTCATTCCTTTGTAAATTGTGAATTCATTCCCCTGTAACTTGCCACATCAAAACTTTGAGGCCCATCCCTGGACCCTTAGTACCTCTGTAATCTTTTGCTACCGCCACAGGATGGGTATGGGGTGCATAATAAACATATTAAACTAATAACGCTAGTCACCATATTGACATGCTACGTATTTTTTTTTAGTAATTTTAATTAGTTCCCTGAAAGGGGAAACTTGAATAGTTGCCAGGAATTTTTTTTTCTCAA